GGGAAGATCTCGCCAGTCCACTCATCCATCCGCATGAGTCGGGACCTGCCGTCCCGCGTGTGCCTACAGGATAAATCCTATCTTGGCTGAGGCGTTAAGGATGGTCAGTGCAAGTCTGATGCGGCCCCCTCTCGCGAGAGCAAACCCATCAGCAGACACCAGCCTGAATGAGAGACAGACAGACAGACAGACAGACAGGCAGGCAGGCGGGCGGGCGGGCAGAGAGACAAGGAGACACAGTGAGTGCGCATGGTGGTGTCCGGTGGTGTGGTGCAGGTCCGGGTGTCTGACTGTCTCACCGACCAGAAGAGCGGAAAGGGGAACCAGCTGGTGACCAAGGTGCAGACGACGATGCGGTGGTATCCGCGGCCCTGCAGCAGGCTCTCCCGGCCGTCGGTGTGCTCCATGATCAGCCCGTTGATGATTGTGATTAGCCACACCAAAAACCCAACACCCACCATGAAGAAGGCCATCTTGACAATTCTGTTGGCCATCAGGCTGGCCGTCATGCCGCTGAGAAGCATGCAGGCCGTCACCATCGGGGCCTCGAACTTGCGCCGTGGGTTGACTTTGGTCCCAGCCAACACGACCATCTGGTACTGCATGACGGGGCACGTCAACAGCCATTCGACGTACTTAGACACGTCGCCGGTCCTGCAGGTAGGTAACAACACACAGACACACACACACACACACACATTGATGAGATGACCTGTCTTGTCACAGACGGCAATAATACGTACTGGATGGAGTCCTTCCTTCCTTACGTGCTGTCATCCATGTTTCCCATAGCAATCCACGCGAATAGCGCGGACGTCCTGACACGACGGACACACGCAGAGAGACACCGACGCATACACACATTACAGGCTAGGCTAGGCTAGTTCGCGAATAAGGCGATTGAGGAAAACCAGTCGGGCGTGCGTACCAGCAGACGTAGACATTGAGGATGAGACAGAACTGCAGCCTCAACTCCACAGGCTGCCGGATCATGCGCTTGTGCGTGTTGCCCTGCACACTCAAGCCACGTGAGGAGGACACACAGAGGTGGGGCCTTGGCTTCGTGCAGCCGCCTGTCTACATGATGCGCTTGCCATTGAGTAGATCAGGTACACGGCCGTGCAGAAGAATACCGCGGACGTGACCACGCGAGCTGCAACGAACGACACCAAGGAGAGAATCCAATGGTCTCCCTCTCCCAGAAAGGCTTCCTTTCACGTCCGTGAGCTGGTCCTTCCTACCATGGTCGTCCTCTGTCAGGCTCTTCCATGTGACGAGACGGTTGCGCTCGAAGTCAGCGCTCACCATCCCCTTTCCTCAGTCACTGCAAAGGGAAGGAAAGGAGGAACACGCCAATGAAACTCGGCGAGACTCCAGGCCCCCCACGCCCCCGAACGGGTAAATTCTGGGACCCGATCCATGAGTCAGCAAGATCCCTAGATCCCTGGCAGTGGCCTTCAAAGTGCCTAGATCAAGTCCCCGCTCTCGTGTGGCTCGTGGTGATCTTGCTGCTGTTTCCTGGTGCTTCCAAAGCCGTCCCGACACCAGGCAAGCGCTGGCAGCACACCGGTGACGTTCGGCACCACCAACATAGCTGCAATGTGTGGTGCGTCTGGACTCTGCAGGCAAAGTGGCCGTCGTCTCCACCTTACGCAGGTTTGACCTCACAGATCAGACATCTGGTCGTCCCCCATATTTCATTCAACGCTCCCGTTATGCCTGCAGGTGTGGACTGGTGGTGACGGAACTCAATAATCGCTTTGCAGGCACTGGGCCGGTCAGCCACACCCAAACACTGACTAAGGCGTGGCGATTGCTCACTCCTTTTTGCCCTGTGTTTCTTCGTGCAGAACAATTTCTATTGGTGAGTCAAGTCGTCAAGTGCACTGCTCTGGCTGGCGGTCATCGCCCACGTGTTGGATGGACTATAGTGTGTGTGTGTGTGTGTGTGTGGATCAGGTGTTATCCTTCCAACAGCCTGTCGAGGTCGCAAGCCGTCGGCGACAGGACAGGCGGAATAGGCCTCCTCAGGCTGCGCAAGTGAGCAACAATGCCTGGATGGATGGATGGAGGCATGGATGGATGGATTGTGTGTCATCATCCTGTCTATATGCGTGTGGTCGTGTACTCTCGTGTGTGTGTGCAGGTGGCAGCGGGATTTGATAGATGCGTTGATAGAAGCGAGGCGCGACCGCGGGAGGGAGGGCGGGAGGCAGCTCATCTCGCGGCTCACACGTAGACACCAATGGAGGAGAAGGGCATGAAGGCGCCTAGAGCCAGCACTCCCCCTTGCCCATCTATCGCTCATGTTTGGTTGCTGACTGAGGTTTTTGTGTGACCAGTGAGCACGTGTGTGTGACACCTGCATACGATGCGTGGCTGCATTGCGTGTCTATGCAGAGAGCGATAGGCTCTAGAAGACTCGAGTGATTGGAGTGGCCGCCGTGCCGTGCATGTCTCGTGGTATTTGTCACGTGAACAAGCTGTATCCATGCATTGATTGCATCCGCCCACCACCTATGTGGGTGGATGACCCACACACCACATCCAAGCTGTCCTTCATTCTACTTCGTCTTCACCCAGGCGCTCCCGTGCTTCTGCTGAAAAACCGTATTGTCGTGCTTCTGCATGATGGTGACTGTCCAGTCGGTTTCCTTAGCCCGCTTCCTGTCGTATGCATCCAATATGGCCTGGAAGTTGTACACCATAGCCTCAGCAAGCCGTGTCTGCTGCCCCCAGGTGCACAGCCCCTGGCGTCCACAGCAACACACAAAGGACGGACGGCAGCGAAGGTGAAAACAATAGCAATCACCAAATCGCTTAGTTACCTGGCCCGTGGTCAGTGTGGCAGGGTTCGGAGCTGTCGGATGCTGTGGGGCGGGGGCGCGTAGAGTCGACACATCGAACACATTGTCAGGTCCCGACAGGTAGCGGATTTCACCCAGACAGCTCTTTTCGAGCTCAATCCGCACACCGAGAGCGAACGGCTCCAAGTCAGAAATCCCGCCATATCTGCTCACCAGCTGGTACGGAATGCTGCAGCCAGTGGCACACGAGAAGTTCTGCTGGCTGGCTGCATGGCTGCCTGGCTGATGGTCTCTTCAGCTGATCGACCCACCCCAGTAGTTGCGAGTCTTCGACAAAGAAGCAGCAGGGTGCGTCCCTAGGGTATCCGTATTGTGGCATGGGCTTCAGCATGCCCTTGGTCAGCCGCAGGCGGACAGCTCTGTACTGATAGTAGTTGCGCGAGAAGGACCAATCATAGATCACGATGTCCTTATAAGTAAGACCGATATACTGACACACGACCACAGACAGACAGAGATCCATCCAAATTTCATGTGACCGACCGCTCACTCCTGTGTCTCATTCGAGCTTAGCCTGGCTGAGTATTGAATACCCTATCATAGTCTCCTTTGACGCCCTCTCCCTTGGGTATCGCGAGATACTCCCTTTTGTCTTGTGACGGCGGCTGGCTGTACTCGCGGAAGAAGAGCTGCCCCTCGTGGAGGTCGCAGTGCTGCTGAAGGTTGGCACGAATGTCCTGGAGAACCTTGGCAATCGCCAAGCTCACCACCCATCCCTCCTCCGGCACATGCTGCATTGATTGCATTCACTCAAGACATCACTCGCATGCACCTCACCTGGCAATGGATGGACTCTCTCCGCCCCGGGGGGAGCAAGGAGACACACGCAGACATGGGCATGTGCGTACCGAGCGTAAGTCGAACAAGGGCATGATGTCGTCCCACTGACTCCCGTGTATCCTCTCCATCAGGAAGTATCCCGGCATCAACTCCATCATCATGGCGAGGTGCTCCAGCTCGTCGGATGTCGCCCCGCGCTCAGCGGACATCAAGCGGTACACACGGGGAATCGGCGGGAATGAGCGCCGCCCGATTGCGTCTCGAATGTGATCCCACATGTCTATCGTCCCTGCAGGCATGTACAGGCCGTGAATCCAAGCAGACAGAGAGAGAAGCATGTGCCGAGAGCAGGGAGGGACGTTGAAGGTGCCTTACGAAATTTCTCCTGCAAGGTCAAATTTATTTCCCACCTTACCCCTCTCCATGCTTCGCTCAGACCTTCCTTCGCTGCTAGTTTGAGTTTCTTGTCGAGAATGGTCCACTTGTTGGTCATGGAATCCCAGTACCACAGTACTTTGTTATCGGGCAGAGAAGCTGCAGGCCAGCCGCAGGAAAACATATCGTGGGACGCCAGCAGCAAGTCGTGCACCAACCCACACCTGGGTGGACATTGACGAAGAATACCACACCGAAGGAGCCGTGGTAGAAAGGGAACCGATAGTCAGCAGAATCGCAGTGCCTCTGTATCGTATCATTGTCGTTTGGGTCTACCTCCTCCTCATTCACACACACACAACACACAACACACACACACCCACACCCACACACACACACACACACAGAGAGAGAGAGAGAGAGAGATCTGTGGACCACTCTGCATGTATGCATGCCTACAGCGCCACTTCGGCCGTTCGCCAGCTTCCGGAAGCCTGCATCGGTTCAAGACAGCAGTGCGATAAGTGCATGCAGGACTTCCCGGCACCTTACAGATGCATTTGGCCCAGTGCTTAGTCTCGTAGAGTGGTGGTACGGCGTCGCAGAAGCTACAGGGGAAGAATCACATACGATGTATCAGAGAGAGAACCAACCCATGCACTTCTCACACAGGCGATGGCATGTACCTGAGGACCCTCAAGAGGGCGCCACGCGCTTCTTGCTCGTCGTTGACTCCGCTCCCCCCGGTGTCATTGCCAAATTCAAGGAAGTTTGGCCTCCTGTGTTCGTCTTTGACGAAGGTCGTGACAGCAGGGATTGCCTCACCACGCGTTGGCCAGGCAAACGGCATTGATGCGCTCGAGTCATCTGCCGCGTGGCCTGCTGTCATTGTTGCGATGAGCAGCGGCACGAAAAGGAACATCGTGAGACGCATTGGGGGCGTTGGGGGAGACGCCGCATCCATTTACGCCATGGCTGGTTTGCATTTCGGGCCTAAGGCATCCATGCTTTGATCAACGACTTGAGCACGTCTGGATCTACAGGCCTGTCTGTCGTTGGGCGCGTCTCAAGCCCCATCATTAATGTCGGCGTCTCACACAGAACGTACTGGTGCTTGTTCTTTCGTTGATGCTGAAGTCCGCTGCAGTATCTGCACGGTGTGCACACAGGCGAGCCACGGTGATGCTCTCCTGTGTGCTTGCGCATGTCACCTGTGATGCCTCTTAGGCAGCGTGAAGCTCCATTGGTGGAACGGACAGTTGAACAGTCGATTAATGCTCGACACGTCCCAATCAGGGAGCACCAGGTAGAAAGAAAGAGAAACGCCACTCTACAGACGCACCCACATTAACCGACCCCCTCTGGTTGGCTGAGTGATCGACTGGCTGGTTGGATGTGTCCTCACCTCTTTGGCTGTGGATAGATGTGACAGCAGCTTTTCTACCATTCGCTCCATCACTCCGACGTCGTATGGCGGGCCTACTTCATACGCGCCGCCGCCCGAGAATGACTCGTCGGCGAAGAAGCTTCCTCGACTACCGAAGGGCCTGTCAACATCGGGAAAAAGCGAGTTGAAGGTCGAGTGATGAGCGTTGAGGGGCGACGCGAAACACTCGTGATGGACGTCAAAGACCTCTCTCAACATATCATGCACGGCTGATGGTGCCGCTAGCTGCCAGCCGCTACCCTCTCCACTACGAGGACCGAACAATGTCTGCAATAAAAGTAGACGGACCGATACGGACCGATGTAGGATGGGGCCTCGTGCCGTGTCAATGAAGTCTTTGACCTGATATCTGTGGAGGAGGATCCACACGGCATGGTTGAAGCGAATACGACAGGCATCGATGGCTTCAGCATTATGAGGTCCGTCGACTCGCCGACAGATGACACCCTGAATACGACACCCACACAGGTGCGACCCCGTCGCTTTGCAAGATGCATAAGTGCCCACCTGCAGGTCAGCGAAAGACGCATCGGTATCGTCCTCATCGAGGCTGACATCTCTTGTGGCTCGATGTGCAGACCGTGATGCATCACTAGTGAAATATCTCCTCCACAATTTAACGGCATGCCCTCGCCGGATCTCGTGAGCCGTGTTCATGCGACGCATCACAGACGAAGCTGCTGTGAGGGCTGGGTCCAGGCTGAAGCACACCGTCTTCTTACCGCCGTCCTGACGAGAAAAGGAACATTCAACAATGAGTGTGCATTTGCTTGTCGATCCATTTCACCTCGGAAACGACGACACAACCTGGAAGAGCATCAGATATGTCTGCCGCATGACTCGTCTCGCCATCGGTTCTGCGCCGCTTTGTCGCCGGGAGGATGGATTGGTCCATCATGGCCAAAGACGACTCACACAGCTCTCGGAAGCTGCCTTGCAGCTGAGTCAGCTCCTCTTGAAGAACAGATAGGAGGGAAGGCAGGCAAACAGCCAGCCGCTCGTTGACCCAAGCCTGAAGCACATACAAAGAGGAGAAGAAGAGGGCTGACATCACATGTGTGTGTTCGTGTGTCTGCGCGTGTGACCTACTGCCTCCTGCCGTCGTCCTACCATGAATCGTTCTTGTATTCCGTCGCACACCAACGGATTGGCGGCGTCGCTTTGTCGGGCACGATCGATCATCGTCCTCAGCTCCTTTATGTGCCCCTCATCCTGTAGGAACCCGTTGGCTGCCGCCAGGAATGCATCGACGGACTTGTTCCCGCTTTGCACACCTCTGAAAAACACCTGATGCGCCATGGCAACAGACAGACAGACAGACGTGAGAGACGTGACATTCAATGTGAGTGAGTTCCTGCTGTCCCACATACCTGCCATACGGCATTCCTGAGTGAAGGGCTGCCATCGGCCACTGTCAATTCATATCCCGGCAGCAGCTCTTCATTCCGGTCACTGCCCCCTATGACCGATGAGTGCGCAAGCACCTCAAACATGAATGCATTGAACGATTCGGGGCTGACGGGAGGGATGCCCAGGTGAGTCTGTGGACACAGGCAATGTCAGGCACATCGTGAGCTCCCGTGCCAAGATCTGCCTCGAGCTGATCTGTTGAGAACCTCACCTTGAACGTGGTTGGAAAAGACTTGCGCAAGCGAGATAGAACATCTTGCCGCACACACTCTCGCAAAAGGTCAACTGTCAGCGAGACTCTTTCTGGACAGCCAGGCTCCATCCTTCACGCGGGTCCGAGGTGTGCCAGACTTAGGGCTCAGGGTTTTTAAAACAGAAGCACCCCGCGGATCGCTGGAGGCTCCCCTCCCCATTCAGCTGCCGATGGCAATAGGTAGCCAGGAGTAGTGAGAGGCTGTGAGTGCTATTCCCTTCTCTGCCGGATGAAAGGGTGACGGATGACGGTGCGGCGCAGCGATGCAGCCATTGTGATAGTTGCGCAAGCTGGATGGTGCCCTCTGGTGCTGCTGCTTGCGGCGTCGACATGCAACGCCAACCTGGCTAACCAGTTCACTGTATCTGGCGATCAAGTAGGTGCGGGGGGAGGGGAAGCACACAGAGAACGACATCGTGTCATGCCATATTCATCTTGTCGTGTCTGTGGCATACGTGGGCTGGACCTTGTTCAGTGCTTCGAAGAGATTGTTGACATAGATGAGAGGTGGGTGGGCACCCCAGCAAAAAGCGGACACCCGCACTGCACCTCCATCGATTTATTTATGTGTCCGTCGGTCGGCCGTCGGTGTGTCAGGTTGACGTTTTCCTACAATTGGTACTACTGCCGGCCGACCTATCCCTTTGATACGGTGAGGGATGAGAGTGAGGACACGGCCAGGCGGCAGCGACTCGCAGAGCAACGATCACAGCAGCAGCGACCAAGGCAGCGGAGGGGCGGCATCCGGCTGCTCGACGGCACTAACCGGCAGACCAACGCTTCACGGTGCTCTTGCTTCAGCGGCTCGCGTCATGAGATGACCTTCCACTGCTGCACCAGCGATGGCTCCTGTCTGGGCGAGATGTACCACCACCCATTATTTCACCCCCGCGGCCATCATGTTGACAACAGTGCCGCAGACGCGCTGCTCGTGCAGCTGTCCGCCCGCTCTGCGGTGGCTGTGAGTGAGCCTGACCCGCCACCCGCAAGCTGGGACAAGCCCATGACGGTGACGCTAGCTGCCGGCCGGCTGCAGTCTTGTGTTTTGCAGTGGATGGGTGGCCAGCAACAGCAAGGCGAGCACCTCCTGGGGCGCTGCGACGAGGAAACGATGGCGTGCGTTGCGGACATTAATGGGGCGGGAACGGCGAGGGAGAGGGAGAGGGCTGGCGGCGGCACCCCATAGCAGATGTATCCTGTACATGTCGGTCGACCGACCTGGGTCGGTCGCCAGCGTTAGCTGAGCGTGTCGATGGACGGAAGAATGATGGATGGATGGAGAAATGGATGGATGGGTGGGTGGTAGACGGACAGGTTTTGTCGGTCGCCGCTCCGTCGGTTGGCTACTTACTTTTGATTATTGAGTCGGTCTGTTCCGTTCTGTTGTTTTTGTCGGTTTAGGGAGAAGAGAAAGGAATGAAGGGAGATACATACATACGTCCTGTCGGTCGCATCCATGGCATGACGACGGCGATGAGAGGAGCCGCCAGCCAGCCAGCCAGCCAGCCAGCCAGGCAGCCTAGACAGAGAGAGATAGATGCCTAGGAATCGTCCACTACCCATCTATCGGTCAAGCCATCCATCCATCCATCAGTCGATCCATGCACTCACTGACTGTGAATGCTCACACTTTCACACACACACACACACACACACACGTGTCACTCCATCACATGACATCACACAACACATAACAAACATGCCAGAGAGGGGGTGCGGTGGGGTGTGCTTTCTTCCATCTGGCCATCGTGGGATATCGTATGCGTGTGGGTGGGTGGGTGTGAAGAGGGAGGGAGCATCGGAAGCGTCCGAGCGTTGTCGTCTTTGTCTTGACCGAGTCGTTTTTGGCGTGGCGTGGCGAGCGTACGGAAAGGTGTAGGGTCTCTGGTATTTTGGGGTCTCGGCCTGCCTCTTTTGGCCCTGCCTGCCCGTGTGTCTGTCTGTCTATACGGAGAGCCGTCATTCATTGATCGATCTGATCCAGTGATGATGAATGTTTGATAGCTGCCGCCTGCCTGCCTTGCCCTGCCCTGTTGCTGACCTCCGTGTGTGCGTGTAAGCATCCGCGTGGATGGATGGATGGATGGGAGGCGGGGGGATCTCTCAGTGTCTATCGATTTGGCGGCCAATCGATGGACTGACAGACAGACATACACATTACAAACAAACATGGTGGATGTTGTTAATCTGTTCCATCGGTTCTATCATGTCTGTCTGTCTGTCTGTCCGAGAGCCAAAAATCCGCAGGCCAGGCAGCCCTAGTATCTCCATCCATCACCGAGACCTCCCCTCATGCGTGCACCGCACCCATGGCCACGCACACGACATGCAGGAAAAAAGGTGGGTGATGCAGATCGAGATCGACAGACAGACAGACAAGCACACAGGCAGGCAGGCAGGCAGACAGAGACACCCCTTACTTGCTTAGGTGATGAGATTGCATGCAGGAGGGAGGAGGGGAGGGGAGGGGAGGGATCCGATCCACAAATACCGTTCCCCATTCATGAATGCCGCCACACCCCCCTCGTCACAGTCGCTGTCTTTACTTACATGGGTGTGCACTTGGAGACCAGCTGCTGCTGCCGCTTCGTCACGTGCGTCGATCGACTGGCCAGCAGACTCTCCTTGTCTGAATGGGACAAAGGGGAGGGAGGCAGCCAACGAAGGAAGCGACGGAAGGACAGAGACGAAGCGACAAGGGGCAGGCAACACGACACACTCCAGTCTGCTGGCTGTTTTCAAAACGACGCGCCTGTCTTGTCTGCCCTCCCTGCCTCCCTCCCTGCCTCCCTCCCCGCCCCACACCCCCATCCACCCACCCATCACCCACCGGACAGATGACATGATCCGATAACGCGTGCGAAAACGAAAAAACAAATGGTCTCCCCGCTCAACCACACGTCACAGCACACAAGGAGAGGGATGCATGGGGGGTGGGTGCGTGGCGCCACTTCATTCACAGCCAGTGGGAAGGGAAGCTGGCTGTCTGTCTGGCTGTGTGCAGGGCGGGAGGGGAGGGAGGGAGGGGAGGGCAGCCTGGCACGCACTGCACTGTCAGGTACTGTATACGTGTCACACACGGGAAGGAAAACCACAACGAGGGAACACTGGAGCAGTGGGAAGCACTCAGACAGACAGTAGGTACACGGACAGACAGACACCCATCCCTCACTCGGCCATCAAACAAACAAAGACCCATCCGATCCCCCCACCCTCCCTCTCTCCCTCCCTGCCTCCCTCCCTGCCTCAGCCGGCCTTTTGTATCTTGATCTCCACGTACTGGGTGTCGCTGCTGTTGAACATCAGTGGGATGTACAGGGACTTCTGCGCCCGCCCCCGTGTGTCCTGGCCCGTGCTGCCCGGCACGCTGTCGAACATGGCCATGGCGAGAGCGGGGCTGCCGAAGTCCAGGAGGGCCGACCAGGTGCCGCCAGACGACATCTTGATGTTGCCGACGACCGGCTGTGGCTGGAAGAGGGCCTGGATCTCCTCCGGCCGCACCATGCGTGGGATCTTGTGGACGAAGAGCTTGGACTGCTGCTCCTGCCGTCCGCCGTTGTCGACGTTTTTGGGGGTGGGGTGGCTCTTGGGCTTGTCCATCCGGTGGTCCTTCAGGTGACGACCCACGTCCACCAGCACGCGGGCCGCCGACGCGGGTTCGCTGTCGTCAGTGTCGCGCGGGCCCATGGCTTCGTTGTCGCGCGCGATGGTCTCGTAGATCTCCTTGAGTGTGGGGGCGTGGCGGGGGTTGTCGAAGGAGCGGCACAGCAGGCCCACATCGACGATCTTGGCGTGGTGCAGCCGGATGGCACACAGGTCCTGCGCCGTGTTGTGGCCCAGCAGGATGGTGTCGGGGCTGATGAGCTTGAGCAGCTTCTGCTGCAGCTGCTCGCGCATCGTCGAGGTGGCCTCGATCTGCTCCGGGGTGGTGCCAAAGGCCTTGACGTCGTCGGTGATGGAGCCGTACGGCTTGACCCAGTCGTCAAGCACCACCTTGCCGTCGGCGTCAACCAGCACGCACCGCAGCACCGCTCGCGCGTCCTCGCTTGTCCGCACCATGATGGTCTTGATGGCCAGCACTTTGCGCTCCTGCGGCACCTTGGTCGACGCCTGCGCCCGCACCCAGCCAGGGAGGTCCTCGCTGGTGTAGATCTGTGGTCCGTAGAATCTGTGGAAGTAGGGGTGGCCCTGCGTGGCCATGACGAGGGCGTCCCAGGTCTTGTCGGCCTCGTACTGCTTGGCCTGCAGCGCCCGGTGGGCCATGGCCGACACGACGGGGTTGCTGCCGGCGGCCGTGGTGAGGAACCGTGCGAGAAACTCCCAGTCGTGGCATGTGGGGTCGCGCTTGGTCTTGGAGGCCCGCTCGATGTACTGCGTCCAAAGGCCGCCGTCGACGTTCTGACTCTCCTTGATCAGCAAGCACATGGTTTGCCAATCGCTGTCCTGCCAGGATGAGGCCATGGTCGATCTGTATGGGATGGGATGGGGGGGGAGGGCGAGGAGAGGAGGGGAGGGGATGGGGGACGGGGAGGGAGCGACGAATCTGACATGGCAGCAGGAAAGCAACACACAGGCATCAAGATCATCGAGCCAGCTTGGGTGGTCCCACTTTGAAGGCTGCTCACCTGTGTCTTTGCTGCCTGTTTCCTTCTTTCCCTTCTGCCAACACGGCAAGTCTGAGCTCGCAGATCTTCGAAACCGCTCTCTCTTCGAGCTAGAGAGCGAAGATCTGGCTCTTTTGGTGAGGCTGTAGGGGCTAGGGAGCCCAGCTGGTCAACATCCAGGGGTTTCGTTTCATGATCCCGTCAAAGCTTTCATCCCGCATTCATCGCGGCAACCTGCGGCGCCCAAGACCACTGGCACAAACTACAGATCCAGCCGGCGCCGAGTGCAGTGCTCGCCATGCAACCACTCCCCTCCCCTCCTTCATTCATCGCGTGGCTCTCTCCGGCAGCCCGTCTCAGCCCTCATCCATCCCGGCCTTGCAGCATGTCCGGCTTGCAGCGGCAGGCATGTCGTCAAGTGCGGGCGGCGCTGGTGACCGTGCCAAGGCCTTCGAGGAGTCCTTTGAGGAGGGGGAGGTCGGCAGGGATGAGTACGACGAACCATCCTACACGCCTGCATCGTACACGTCCATCATCCGAGAGGAGACCAGCTCCAGCTTCCGCCGGAAGATGCGCTACGGGGCACACCCCAGCACTCTCTTCAAGTCCACAGAGGAGGTGGAGGCCGAGGCCATGCCGAGGAGGGGCAAGGGGGGGCGGCTGGAGCGCAAGGCCGGCAAGTCCACGATGAGCCAGGCAGACGAGGACGATCTGCCGCTCAAGGAGATGGACAAAGATGCCGGCCGGCGCAACAAGGGCAAGTCGCGCTTCTCTCTGCGCGACCTCAAGACAGACGAGCCGCTGTACCAGAAGACGTTTTGGGAGGAGATCAGGGAGAAGGAGCTGCACAAGGTGGCCAAGACGCGGGAGAGCCTGGCAGCGAGGCAGCTGAGGAGGAAGGAGGAGAAGGCCAGGCACAAGGACAAGGCCGACGGCAGGAGGCTGCCGGCCATCGACGAGGGGGAGGGAGGGGAGGGGGACCTCTTCCCCTCGGGCGGCAGCATGAAGGGCGTACCCAGTTGGGACAAGGAGGACCGGGCGGCACAGCACAGCCACAGCACCAGGGGCAAGACCACCCCTGGGTCTGCTCTCGACCTGGCCTCCCTCTCTCAGCTGGAGGCAGAGACCTCCAGCGACGCATCAATCTACTCAGCAGCAGCGGCCAAAGAAGAGGCGACACACGAGAGCAATGCCACGACCGGGCCCCTGCAGAAGCCTGCTGCAGAGGCCATGGACCGGCTCGGCGAGAGGGATGACCACGGGCAGCTGAGGATGGTGCGAGGCAGCGCGCTGATTGACGACATCGGGCAGGAGCCGTCTCTGTCAGAGAAAGAGGAGAAGGCCAAGATCCGTGCCATGCTCTTCGGCCAGGGCGACACTTCTCCCGCTCGCCATGGCGACGAAGCCGACGTGACGGCGCCGCCGACGGAGGTGGACGCCCACTCCCCCGCGGAGCTGGTTCGTGCGGCGACCAAGCTGCCGGTGGAGACGTGGATGAACATGGCTCCCGAGCGGCTGCAGGTGCAGCAGGAGCTCGTCAAGGCCAGGAGCGTCGCGGCCATCCTCACCACTGTGGGCGGCAACATCGGGCACATGGACGAGGTCAACGTGACGACGGCCGTCCATCGGCTGGGGCGCTACGTCACTCCGTACCAGCGGCAGACGATCGTCAAGGACGAGCGGTTCGTGGAGCTGCTGGTCGCTGCCGAGAGGATGCTGGTGCACCTTGGGCCGCAAGGGCTGGTGAACCTGTTCTGGGGTCTGGTCAAGCTTGAGCACGCCCCCAAGTGGCTGCCGTCACTGATGGTGCAGTGCACGCAGCACGTGCCCAAGTTCGAGGGCCAGCACCTCAGCACCGCACTCTTCTGCCTCTCAAAGCTGTCGTTCGCCATCAAGGAGGCCATGCCGCTCAAGGAGCAGCTCGTCGAGGCCGTCAAGTATCGGTATGAGGAGTTCAAGACGCCCCTCGACCTGACAGTGGTGTGCTCGGCGCTGGCCAAGCTGGATGTGCGGGACCCCCATCTGTTCGCGCAGCTGTCGCAGAAGGTGCAGAAGGGGATGGACCAGTTCTCCATGCAGGAGATCGCCGGGGTGGCCCACGCCTTCGCCAGCATGTCCTACACCGACCCCAGTCTGTTCAAGAAGATCCGCCGGTCTCTGGAGCGGCAGGTGGAGCAGTGCACGGTGCGCGACGTGGTGCAGCTGACCTGGGCCATGAGCAGGGTGGAGGAGGCCGACGAGGAGCTCTTCAAGTTCACCATCTCGCCCACCATCCGGTCGTTCATGCTGGACCTGGCAGCCAGGGACCTCTGCACCGTCGCGTGGGCGTATGCAAATGCTGGTACCACGCTCGAGCGTTTGTTTACACAGATGCAACACAACAAGGGCCAACCCATCTCATCCATGCCATCTCTCTCTGGGTGCGTGTGTTGTGTGTCCTGCAGGCGTATCTGACCCGGATCTGTTCTCGGACCTTGCCGCCTCGATGTTGCCCAAGGTCAAGCAGTTCACGGCCCACGACATCTCAAGCGTCGCCATGGCCCTCGCACAGGCGGAGTTCGCACACAAGGAGCTCTTCGCCGGACTCAAGCAGCAGGCCCTCAAGCTAGTCGGCACCTTCTCACCCCTGCAGCTCTCCCGCGCTGTCTACGGCTTCGGTGCGGCAGGCGTCACCGACGCAAAGCTCTACAGCGCTTTATGCGACCAGGTGAGTCGGTCTGTCTGTCTGTCTGTCTTGTCTGTGTGGATGGGGAGAGGGGGGGGGGGAGAGGGGGTGAGTCTCCTCTGGACGCATCGATGTGTGTGTGTGTTGCGTGTGGTCATTCATGTCTGTCCTGGAGATCTTGGAGCGCAAGCACGTGTTGTACCCTGAGAACATAGTGCAGACGCTGGTGGGTCTGTACGAGGCCGAGTACCTGTCGCACCCCGTGGTGCCTGCGCTGCTGGAGCTGACGAGCAAGAAGGTCCAGAGCATCTTCGCTGAGGACTGCGTGCAGATCCTACACGTACTCACCAAGTGCCCTAACAACCTCAGGAGCCCCACACTCATCGACCAGCTACTCACCGCCATCCGACAACGCATCAGAACCTGGTGGTCAGTGAGATGGTCACACGCACACACACGCACAGGTGAATGGATTGGTGGGTGGATGTCTGGATGTGTGTAGGTGTTTCACGGCAGCGAATGTGGCGGACCTATTTGAGGCGATGCACGAACTCAACATCACCGACGACCAGCTCACCAACGTCATCCTCCGGCAACTCGCACCCCTCCTCCGCTCAGGCGACCCCGAGGACTTCCTGCGCATCGTCGGAAGCCTCTCGTACCTGCCAGCTGACGACCGGCTCCTCGTGAGGACCCACATACACCGCCGCCCTCGTGTGCAGAAGGCCATCAGCGACAACCTCGCTCAGCTGGCGCGGCTGGACAGCGACCTGCAGTCGATGATTGTGCTGTGCTACGCGTGTGCCCGGATTGGGTTTGAGGACGACTCTGTGCACAAGATCGTCGACACGGTGCAGCACCTGATCGAGACCGAGGGCGAGCGCCCCAGGCCTCTGATGCTCTGCTACCTCTTGTGGACACTCACTGAGGTGAGGCAGTCGGTCGGTGAGAGGGATGGGGGGCGACTAACACAGCTTGGCTTAGTTTAGCTTAGCTAAGCTTGCACTGCATGTGTGTAGGGGGTTGGTTGTGTGGTGTGAGTGCAGCAAAGTCTCAAGATGGATTGGGTGCGTCCGGTGGTGGTGCACTTTCTCACTCAGCGATACGGCACACCGGAACAAAAGGCCGCCGTCGGGCGGGCCGAATACCGCGGGGGCAACGTGCACATCCAGGTGAGGTGCTTGTATACGAGCACCAAGACAAGACAGACACCTCTGAGGAATGGCAAACATGTTTGTACATGGGTCATTATTGGCAGGGTGAGGACGACCCCTTCAGCGGTGATGTGTTGAAGGATGGTGCCAAGGAGGCCGCTGAGGCGCTTCTGCGGCTGGCGTGGGTGTGCGTCGTCACCAGCGAGGAGCAGTACCTCACGCCACTCCTCGAAGACATCGCCAGGTCAGGTCACACACATACACACACATCCACAAGGCATACAAGCGAAGCTGCTGGTGCATGCTTCTCTCTCTCTTGTCGCTCGCTCAGGGGTTTCGGGGATGAATTGCCGAAGGAGCTGATGCATGCGCAGCAGGTGGCCCTGCACGCTCTCAAGCTCAAGCCCAGCGGGCTGGACCCCCCTGCATCCGACGCACTCGTGGCCTTCCTGGAAGACGTCTTGGCGTGCCCCAGGGCGGACCTCTATGTCTACGAAGGAGGCGCCAAATACAGGTGGCCAGAGGGAGGGAGGGAGAAGGGGCACCAATTGGTCCTGACCGGAACGGCTGGCTACAGGATGGACAAGCGATTGCGCGTCAAGGATTATAACTATGACAAGTGGCTGTCGGAGACGCTCATCCAGGTAAGCACATACGCACCGCAAAGACACACACAGACGGACACCATAGACAGACACGTGTTGGCTTTGTTCATCTCTCAGCTGAAGGTTGCGCACAAGACTGCCCACACGCTGGAGAACATCTATCGCGTCAGTGTGGCATTCCCACTCGAGAAGCACCTCATCGACGTCCTCAACTTCCAGGTGAGATCGTATCACACCACACCATCAATCAGCACACCATCAGCGCATACACACTCACTCACACACCTGCGAATGATGCACCCCCCTATGTCGTGTGTGTTTGTTAGGATTTGGTTGCCCCTTCCAGCCGCCCATTGGCGTCAGCAGAGCTCAGGCAAAGGCAGCTGTCGCTGCTCGGTCAGTGAGTAACCGACCACAAGTGCCCACACATCACATACCCAGCCACTCACTCTAGCATGTCCGTTCTTCTCTTCCCACAGGCTGGGCGGTTCATTCAGTGCACCTGCGCGACTTGTTCAACGCCGTCAAGGACCGCTCCCTCCGGTCCTTCCTCGCCCGCATCGTCTCCACCTTCGTCCCCGCAGCCAAGGAGTTCATCGAGTTCACCCCGCCCGTCACCCACACCAATAAGCTGCCCTCCTCAACACACACAGACGACTGGAAGCGCCTGAGCGACGTCGCCAGCAAGCGAGACGCCGCGGCAGGATCGGCCGGCGGTGGCGGTGGTGAGTGTGATTGGCATGAGGACGAGGATGCCGAGGAGATGAGAGAGCGGGCGCTTGCGAAGAAGCAGCAGCAGAAGTGGCGTGTGAAGAGTGCGTACAGCCGGGCTGCGGGTAGTACTGGGGGCGGGACGGTGCGGCCGAGACGGGCTGCTGCTGAGAGGGGTGGGGTGGGGCTGGACGATGAGTATGAGCATGAGGATCGGGATGAAGGGGAGGGGGAGAGAGGAGACAGGAAGGACAAGGCCAGACAAGAGGGGGATGATGAGAGTGAGGATTCCCGTGCTACACTGGCGACGTGACCACTGACTGACGCGATCGTGGGTGGGATGGGTGGGTTCTGCCGAGTCGGTCACTGTCCATTTGGTAATCGCAATTTGTTCCATGCATCACATCGCGTATCTATCGGTTCGTCGAAACGTCCACACCGCAGAACGATAATGAATGGATGGTCGAATGCCGACGACATGAGTAAGGAAGGGAAGGCCTTGGACCGATGGACAACGGACAAAAACCAGACAGACTGGGAAACCAGCACACAGCAGCAATGAATGAATGTCATATGGATGATAAACACTCCGCATGCAATGCACCCAACCCAGAGCTCCCATCTCATGCATCTCATGAGCCTCTCCAGCGGCAGGCACACTACCGAGTTGTGGGAGGCTGCACGGCTGTATGGATGGTAGGGCTGTGGGTGTGTATGTATTACATCGGGCCCTGTCGGCCTCGACACATGCACACACATGCAGCTAGGCACAGACAGACAGACAGACAGACAGACAGAGGGGAAAGGACGCAACCGACATACAGGGAAGCTCCATCCATCCATCCATCCGCCGCAAATCAGTCAGCCAGTCAGTCTTAGCGTATGTAGGCGTATGTGTGTATGTGTGTGGCGCACCTTGCCCTGCCTGTGCAGAAGGTATGGATTAAACTCCTTTATGGGGTGACAAACCACCAGCAGTGCAGTGCACTCTCACTTTGTGTGCACTTCGCTCATCGATGGACTCCTTGTATGTATGTCACACACGTCAATCCATACATACGTGACCCTTCTGGCTGTCAAATCTCTCTCTCTCTGAGAAAGAACCTCTCTTCCACTAAATCAGCAAAAAGAGGCATACCCGGCGTGTGATGTCATGTGATGTGTGTGTCGTCGTGATAAAAGAGTCCACCCACACACCCACGCCACACGCGTGCAGGAAAGCCACACATAGAACATCCATGCGATCCGGCCTGGCCAGCCCCCCAAACAACACATTAGTGAATGAATGAATGGATGAAAGCCGACGACATAAGGAACGCCTAAACCGATGCTGGTAGATCAACAAATAAAAACCAGACAGTGAAACCAGGCACCGAGCAAGAGGCCGCACGGCTGTATGGCTGTAGGTATTTATGTATGCATGTAATACATCGGGCCCTCTCGGCCTCGACACATGCAGACACACGCACAGACAGACAGACAGACAGACAGACACAGACGAGAAAGGAGGCAACACACAGGGAGGCTTCGCCAGCCAGTCAGTCTCAGGCACGCAAGTCCAACTCAAACCACCCGTCCGTGGATATCTGCTGGCCTGCCTTTGACGCACCATGAATGAAGACCATGCATGCAATGCGGGATGTCTCGCCCCACTGGGCCAGGCCACCCGACCGACCCTCTTCCACGTGCAGTACGCTCTCACTTTGTATGTGTGCACTTCAGCACTGTATGCACGGACTTCAGGCATTCATGGATATCTGCCGGCCTGCCTTTGACGCACCATGAATGACGACATGATGGACGTCTTACCCCACTCCAGGCCACCCGACCGACCCTCTTCCACATGCAGTGCGCTCTGACTTCGTGTGCACTTCGATGGACTTATTGTATGTCACACACATCAATCCATAGATGACACCGCTGGCTGTGAAATATCTCTCTCTGTCAGTAAGAATCTCTCCTCGGTTAAATCAGCAAGCACACCAAACAAACACACACGATAGGGATGGAAAGAGGCATAGAGGCATACGGACTGACGTCCGAACTGACGTCATACTTTATATACGAATGTGATGTGTGTGTGTGTGTGTGTGTGTCATCGTTCGTATGCACACGCTCTCCTCCCCTTGTCTGTCGTCCGAACGTGCGCATGCCAGCCACAGATGACAGAAACGATGCCTCCTTGTCTCATTCTGGGCTGCGCTTCTCCACTACCTACTGAAGTATGTCCCCATACATGAGAAGCACACAGCAGGCAGGACAAGGATAAATAAGAACCACACTGGCAGGCAGGCAGACAGGCAGACAGGCAGGCAGGCAGACAGACACACCAAGACAACTGTCGAAAAGAAAACAGACGAGGCAGGCAGGCAGGCAGGACGAAAAGGTACGACACTGACTCGATGGCCCGACGAGAGAAACGAATGGAGACAACGAACGAACGACGAGACGCCAGAATTCATTCGCCCGCTGAACGGGGCCGCAAGTTGCTCACACCCACACGCAACCCAGAGCCATCCCCACCACGACTGTTTCCTCTCGTGGTCTGCCCGCCCTGCCCCGATTTCTCTCAGGGGGAGGGCGGGCACTAGGATTTGGACACACACACACACACACACACCCCACACCGCATCGCGTGTAGCTAGCTAGCTACCGTCGTGGCTATCGTGCTACCAGCCATCCTTTGCGCGGCAGACTACAATTGTACACACATACACACACAAGGCATGGATGGCAAAACGACATAAGGTACATACACAAACAGGCAGCACAAACAAACAAAAGGACAATTGGACACGGACTTCCCCCGCACCCCCAGCCCACCCCCCCTTTCCCGACAGCAGCAAGAATGACACAGCGCAACACAACAACACGACACAGCACGCCGCACAGCACCGCAACACAACACGACACGTACGCACCTACATGGACACGCACAAGGCCATTCAAACCCATATGCACCAAGAGTAAGTCGACAAGCGGGCATCTGAGTCAGTTAGTGAGTGAGTGCGTGAGTTGGCCGATCAGCAGCAGCAGCAGCAGCAGCTTCACAGCTTTGCGATGGCGGCGACAGCAGCAGGGACCGCGGGAATGGCCATCAGCACCGCACTGTAGATGCCCAGGAGCGCGAATGCAATGGCGGAGAAAGGGGCGGCACCAGGGTGCGTCAGCAGGAGCATCGATGTCCCTTGCCCTGTCCACACACACACACACACACACGTCTGCAGATCAGCGTGCTTCATTTTGTTTGCACGTCATGCGTACCATGGCACGAAACACCCACAGCCACCCCCTGCATCACGTCCAGTGTGTCTTTCTTCATCGTGGCCGTCCAGCGGCGCAGCAGTCCCAGGATCTTGTCGTACAGCAGCACTCCTGTCGTCCCAGTCATCACACAAATGCCACCCACCAGGGACTCGTTGGCACCCCCCAGGTAGCGCGACGACGCAATCGCAATGGGCGCTGTCACGCTTCGCAACGACATGCTCGCAGAGATGGTTGGCGAGAGGCCGATCAGGCGGGAGCAGGATACCGAGAGCATGATGGATGCGATCGACACGATCAGCGCCGCTGCATTGAGCTCGATGAAGAATTTTCTCATTTGAGGCAGCCGCGAGTGCATTGGGAAGGCCATCGCAATGGTGGCCGAGTTCAGCAGGTACAGCAGCACATCCCCCGCGCCGAAGTCATAGCTGAGAGCACAAGGGAGGGAGCAGGTGAGTGACACACGAATCTATGAGTACGAGACGGACAGATCTGGATGCTTGATGCATTCACTCACCTGCGGCTGTGAGAGGCATCGATGAGCGACGGCAGAATCCGAAGGAGCTCGCCTGATCGATGGATGCACAGCGCAACACACGTGACAGTGCTGTCGCTTTCCATCCCCGATGTGTCTGTCGACGCGACTCACCTGTGCGGAATTCCCGCACCACGAGGGGGAAGGGAACATCCCTCACAGCCGCCAGCGTCAGCATCATGAGCCACGCCATTGCCAGGGTCCCCAGCACCGGGATGGCAACATAGCGATACCACCTCGACGACGGGATCCTCGCCTCCAGCTGACGGAGGGATCCGAAGGTCCACGGCAGCCAGACGATCATCAGCAGTTGCGAGAGGATCTGTAGGTACGCCGGAGCTGCCACGAGCACCATGAGGAAGAGCACCAGGCAGACGCCGCCGACAGCAGCGTAGGGGCGCACCCACGCGACCGAAGCCTTGGGGGCCAGTTTCGGTCTTGCCGCCGGCCCTTCCTCCTCCTTGTTGACGCCCTCCTCCATCTCGATCGGCGAGATCTCCTCAGTGACGCCACGACAGTTGCACTTGCGCAGCCTTGCATGATGAGCGTCCCCCCAAAGGCAGCCGTCAGCGGCATCCCAATCAGGACGACAGCCATGATCTTGATCCAGCCCAGCCAGGTGACCTCGATGCTTGTTGTCTCAGCCAGCGCAGGGAGCCCGAGGACCGCCGGCAGGAAGAGGACGATCATCCACTTGAGTAAGGTGCCCTCAGCTGCCTTGAAGATGGACAGCCAAGCCGGCAGCAGGCCCTGCAGGCGGGGACACTTCTGACCAACAACGTCCAGCACGATCGTCACGAGAAACACCAGAAGAAGCCCGGCGACCGAGCCCGGAAAGTCTAAACCCGCAGCATCCAAACCGTCCTGTGTGAGGCAGGCAGGCAGTCACAGACCAGACAGAAACCATTCGTCCAGCCCAGCCTCCCCCGCTGACATGTCAGACATGCAGTCATCATGACACTCACCTGGAGAAGCTCAGAGAGGATGGACAGGAGAACCACACCGGCGACGAGTCGGGCTGCGGACCCAACGCACCACCCAGCCCACCACGAGAGCATCTTGGCACACGGGCTGTGCGGCAGATCACCATCACCGTCAGCCTCAGCATCATCACCACCTTTGGCGTTCTTGACGTCCTCTGCGCCAGCCATAGCGGGTGACTGGGACGACGTGCAGTGGCTTCCATCGGGTTTCTCACAGCACTGCGTGCGCTCCTCGATGTCGGGAACGACACACGAATTAGAGTTGACGTCCTCATCCTCGTCAATGCAGGTAAGCGATGGCGAAGGTGGAGGCGGGGGCTGGGGATGCAAAGCAGGCTGGGGCGAGGGCGGACGGACATTCATCAGAGGGGAGAGGGAGGGAGAGGAGCTGCAGCCAACACGTACAACAGAGAAAGAAAGATGGCGCGCGTGGCCGAAGTGTTGCGCACTCCTTACTTGCGTACCTGGTGGAGCTTGCTTTGGCTGCAAAGAGAGATCAGATCCGGAGATCTGCAGCAGCGGTTTCAGGCCGGAGATCTGCGCAACCTGCGAGCTTTCCAGCGATCGGCAGTCAAGGAGGGAGAACCATGGATAACCGCCACGTGCCGACGACGGGGAGGCCTCCTGTCAAAAAGTGGACCATCAAACACATGGAAATCAGATCGTGACCTCAGCCGATGTCTGTTGTGGTGTTTGTGTGGCTGTGTGTTGCCTGCCTGTGCTGCCTGCCAGGACCTCCTTTAGCGACCTCTTCAAGCAATTGCACGGCGGCCAGCCTGCCAGCACAAACGCGAGTGAGCAATATTGCCTTTTCTCGCCCCGCCGCAACGCGCCTTCCGTGTGTGTGCTACCAACCACCACCTTGCAGCTCCTCGCCCCAATTTCCCCGTTAGTAGCACACGTCTGGCGCCGAGTCATGGCGCACAATACCGACCCAAGTAAGTACGCGAGAAGATGCTGACTGAGCAACGGTGCTGCTCACCTGTCTGTGTCTGCATATCATGCATGTGCCCCTTTCCCTCTGCCAGGACACCTGCCATCCGTCCATCGCATCCTGCTGCTCCCCGCGGAAGGCCCATCGCACCTCCATCGGCGCCTCCCTCCTTCCCGCCCCGCGCCATGCCATCACCTGCACCGACCAACCAAGGCCCAGCATCGGCAGGCCCCGCCAACCCCAACACAACAACAACAGGCAACACCAGCTTCAGCGTGCTAGATGGGATCTTCAGACACCACCAGCAGCAGCAGCAGCACCCTCCCACACCAGTGAGACCCAAGACCCCGCGGCCACCGACCGGCACACAGCAGAGCGCCGCCCCGCCGCTGGACATCGGTGCGCTGATCGACCAGGCGCCGATATGCCCAGAGGGGCAGATGACGGCGGGGTGGGGGGCGGGGGAGCGCAAGGCCAAGGGCGGCAAGGAGCGTGCGGTGCCGGGGGGGCTGCTGGAGCGGCTCGACAAGGTGCACCACGGGCAGAGTGTGGACAAGACGCTCGCTCCCAAGAAGGTGCAGGAGGTGCTGGCGCTGATGGGGACGCAGGGCGGGGGTGGGGGGAGCGACGGGTACTTCGAGAAAGACGGATACGGATTCATCACCAGACGACAGGCAGGTGACGGGTCAGGAGGACGCCACCACGACGTCTTGCATGGCGTCAGTCATTTCCCTCTGTTCCTCTGCTTACATGGATGCAGGCGGATTTCCTCTCATCGCATCAGAATGGCGGCGGGTCTTACCTCAACAAGGCCATCGAAGTGGAGGGCTTCGAGCTCGACGCGCCGGGTTGGGCGGCACCGCCGCACCACCCTCACCACCACGGCCACGGGCCAAGTGATGCGGCCCAGCTGCACGGACGGGCGTGGCCGCTGACGAGCGCGGCACAGGCGGCGAGTAGCAGCAGTGGACATGACGGAACCTACCAAGTCAAAGTGCTCCTATCGCTGAAATCGTAGGCAGACATACCAAATGAGAGGTTCGGGTTAGTCAGTCATGATAATGTTTCTATGTGTGTCTGCAGGTTGCGTCCCCTCCTGCGCGATGAGGACTTCAGCACCCATGGCGAGCAGGAAGAGCAGGCGGCAGCCGAGGCGATGGCTGACCACCCTCGCCGCCCTCGATTCATTATCCTGGTGCCCACCTGGCTCAACGACCCCACCACCCAGAAGCAAAGCGACGAAGCAAACGGCGAGGCGGCGGCGTCGAGTGTTGCCATGTGTGTGGCCGGCGTGGTGCTTCGGGTGGTGGAGGGCGACTGGGATGAGGGAGGCCACCAGTACGACCCATATATGGACGATGCCGGCCACACGGCGGGTGGCTATGGCTGGGAGGGAGGGGCCGCAGCGGCACCACACAGCACGTGACATGGGTGTTAGTTAGCATCAGGGTGTACAGATGGAGGAGAAGAGGCTGTGAATAATAAATAGCCTGGGGTGGGCTGGGTGGGTTGGGGGATCACTGACATGGTTGATTGATTAGTTGATGGCATCGCATCGATCGCAGTGGTATTCAAAGATACTCGTGTCCAGTCCACATGACTGACGGCTGCATTCGCAACCCACTGGTGAAACACATGGAGGGAAGGTGTCTGTCTGTACAGTCAACATCCGTCTATGCATCATGCATGCACCACACACCATGGAAGCTGCCGGCGGCAGCTGTGAAAAATACACCACACACGCAATCAAGGAACACACCCACACAGACACGCACATCAAAACGGATCAAAATGCCTCCGTCACTCACACACATCCACTCATTCGCTCTCTCACTCATTCGGCCGTCCCGCCTCCCCCTCCTCTCCGCCCTCCTCCTCGCCCTCCTCAGCCTCTCGCTTGATCTGGCCTTTTCTGTACCTGAATGATATCCTGCCCTTGGTGAGGTCGTATGGCGTCATCTCCACCGTCACACGGTCACCCAGCAGGATCTTGATCCGGTTGATGCGCATCTTGCCCGCTATCGTGCACACCACCTACAGCAACAAACACAGACATCACACCCAGGCAGCGAGCGTGATGGAGAAAGGAATCATGTCAAAGTCACCTTCTGCCCGGTGCCGTCGAGTTCGACGAGGAACTGTCCTCCCGGCAGGCACTCGGCGACGGATCCGTCAATCTCGAGCCGGTCGTCGCGGTCCTTCTTCTTCTCTGTCGTCTTCTGCTGCTTCTGACGACGCACCTTGGCACCCAAGGCGGTGGTGTGGGCCACGGAGGACGGCAGCCGCCAGAGAGGCGGTGGATGGAGAGAGAAGGAACGTGATGATGATGGGTCATCGCCAGAGAGGGAACATCTCCTGTGCCTCTGCACCTGCGACAGCGTAAGAAGAAGCAGCAGCATTCATCAAGGGTACTTCGCTCAGCTTGTCGTGTTGATTCTTTCACCTGAAAGCTTTGTAGTGATGGTCCGGCTGGGTGCATGAACCCCGTTTGTGTCCGCTGCGGCATTGTGGATGGATTAGTGTTGCGGATCTCCCTCCCCTGTGATGTGCGGAACCAAACCTCCGTCAGCATCACGATGAGTAGAGCAAGAAAAGATCTCCCATGGAAATAGCTGGCCAAAGGTGAATTAGAAGGCATAGATGAGGCAGTGCTCATGCTCGTGCTTCTTCCTTTTTCCTCCCCTTCGCCTCCCCTGAGAGCGGTTTCACGGAGAACCCTGTTCTGCGAGCTCATACTCGAATTCTCGCCGAGACGGCAGCTTTTGCGAATTTTTCATGAAACGAATCCACCGTCCATTTCTTTGGTTGTATTCGACAGCCATCCAACCTCTCGCCCTTTCAAGTTGTCCTCCTCCCTACCCGTCAAAGAGCGCATCTCGGGAACGTGCGTCGAAACCAACTGACGATTCCCAAAGCTGCCCGATAGCATCGGTCTGTGCGTTTCTTTTTCCGCCGCCTTTCCCCTGGCAGTCTGGGAAGGAGGCGCCCCACCAGAGCTGGTGGGGATGCCTTGGAGGGCAATTCGGGAGCAGAGCGACAAAGCCATCCTTCAGGCGCTCTACCACGACCGTATGCGAGCCCCACAAAAGACATGCACGTCCATGCTGCCATGAGAGCCCTCTCTAGGGACTCACAAGGAGGACCTCTTCCCCGAGGCGGCCGAAACAGACCGCGAGGAAGGGGAGCTACTGCAGGAGATGGCGAAGGTTTGTGACATCATCCCATCCACCATACCCGCATCACATCCAGTGGCTGTCTGTGTGGTGTGTCAGGGGTTCTCGATTTGTGATGACGTCAGTGAGCGGTTTCCCGATGCGTGTGATTTGCTCGCCCGTCTGCTCGTGTTCGACCCTCAGGAGCGCATCTCAGGTACAGTACGCGCGTTGAAACCAACCGACGAGTAGACACACACAAGGCGACAAGGCGACACTCCAAGCCCTCTACTATGACCGTAAGCCGGACGGCTGACAAAGACACATCCATCAGCGCTGCCATGATGGAGAGCCCATGCTCTGTCTGTCAGGTTTGGCCAAGTATAACGCGAAGACCTTGTACGAGGAGGTCAGGGACGTAATGGACAAGCTGACATTCTACCAAGGTAAGTGAAGGATACACAGCAACAACACGTGCACTCAGTCCACACATTGGCTTCCCTGCCTGTGTGTCTGTCCGGCCCCGTGTGTGTATGTGTGAAAATACAGACGACATAGAGTTGCGTCCCTGGCGGGAGCGTCTTGTGAGGAAGCGGTCTTCCAAGATAGAGCAGGAGAGGGTACGGGACCGACTCTTTGTTATTTTTGTGTGTTGGGTGGTCGATTTGGTAAGGTTTCGCTCCCTCGTGTTGGCTGTCCTTTGCAGGACGAGTTGAAGGCGGAAGTCATAAGGCTGAAAGAGGTCGCCATCTCGCCCTCGTTCATTCACTCGGCCCTCGCTCATTCACTTTGTACACCTCTCTCTGCGGTGCGCCTTTCCTCTTCAGACCATCGAAAAGCTAAATGGCGGCACGGCAGTGGCGGCGGCTGCCGATGCGCTGACCGATGAGGCGGTCTGTCCACCCCTACCGCCACCCCCGCCTCCACTTCCACTTCCACCACCTCCCGGCTTCTCCGCGCTGTCATTCCACCCAGCACTGCAATCCTCTCTGCCCCCACGACCCGCAGTTCCCCCGCCGCTTCGGGCCGTCTCGGAGACGGGCACTGGTGAACTACCACAGCAGCCACAGCAACACGCAGATAAGTCCGTGAATACTGCCGTCGCTGGCGTAGCGGGACCCCAGGTAACCACGGTGAAGCAGCATCAGCAGGGTGGCGGGGAGACGGGGAGCGCTGGCGGGGCGATGCAGAGTTCCACGCAGGGCGGGTGCGCACACATACACAATGTCCAGTCTGCACACTACACACATACGGTTGGTGTCTTGTTTTCGCGACTCCTTATCTGCAGCGGTGCGCCTGTGCCCCAGGTGTATGCTCCTCCGGCGAGCGTTAGCCACGGGTGCGTCCGCACAGCAACAACACCCACACACACCCACACACACACAAAGAAAGAGAGAGACAGAGAGAGAGCGTGGTGGGTTTTCTCAGACGCGTTCACACTGTGTCTGTCTGTCTGTCTGCCTGTGTGTTGCGTGTCGTGTGTCGTTCGTTGGTCTGAATGCAGTGGCAATGGCGTTCGGCCTGCTGCTGCGTTGGTCGCTCCGCACGGGTACGATAGACAGACGACGGATGCACGGACGGATACGTCCTGATGTGTCCAACAGATATGGCGCGCCGGGCAACTTGAACTACTTCAACTACGGGGGATACCACACGTACAAGTATGTCCCACACAGACACATCAAGCAGCTGACATACATACACACATACATACACACACGAATGCCACACGAGCCATCCGTCAATGGTGGGCTCTGTCTGTCTGTCTGTCCTTGCTTCAGCTACGGCCCCCCTCCGGCTGCTGCGTTTCAGTAAGCACACACAAGACAGGCACACAGACAGTTCGAGCGCGCCATTGATTGGTGAGTATATGCATTTGTGTGGTCGCTCAGGGGGTCTGGCGTTCCACTGGCCCTCCACGGGCCCCCCGGGTGAGTTGCGTCGGACGAATGCATCCATCTTCCAACACTGACTGCATGTGTGTGTGACCAGTGTCCCATTCAGATCGTTCGGGTACTCCAACAACGCCCGCCCCATAGGCCCCCCATTCGAGAGCGGGGAGAAGAAGGGCCATGGCGGTGGCGATGGCTTGGCTGGCCAGGGCAGTAGGGCGACCGACGGAGGTGCGGCAGGGGCATGACGACGGGCATGTGTGTGGACTGACGGGATGCAGACGAAGTGAGAGGAGGGAGGGGGAAACCTATGGATGGATGGATGGATGGGTCATGCCATGTGTCTGTCGATGGTTGTGTGTTGTGCTGTGGTCTCATGTCGCTTCTGTCGTGTCTGTCTGTCTGCATTTGTTTATGTATGTCAGGATGGGCTGGTCGACGCCCAGCAGAGGCCGCCAGGTCGAGGTCGAGGCGCTACGGTGAGAGAGAGAGAGAGATGACCGACCGGAATGAGTTCAGACACATTGCTTGCAAGACTCACTCCTTGCCCTTCTTGTGTTGTCTGTCTGCAGGGGTGAGTCGATTGCGGCCCAGCACCCACCAATCGCACCCATCAACCATCAGCTGGAGGGCAGCCAACAGGACGGCACGCAGCAGGAGGCCGAGGGAGGCGCCGGGGCGGCCAATGAGGAGGTGATCAGCGGCACCACCAACACACCACCCCCACTCCCGCATCAGCCGCCAGTAGGGCCATCGAACTCACACAACATCATGACCCAGGTAGGTCCGAGACACACAGACAGCCAGACAGGCACACAGATACACAGACAGACAGAGAGAGAGAGGGAGTGCAGTAAACACCCCCCATGTCGGGATGTGTCTATTCTTCGCCTATGGATTGGACTGCAAACAGATGCTCGGGACTTGGCAGCAGCTTGCGTGAGTCGCCAGCGAAGCCCTCTGCCGTTGCTGCTAGATCTGCAGTGTGCGAGGACGACCAAGTTCCACCACCGCCATCACTCCCCCCAGCACCGCGACCCTCTCTGCCCCCACGACCGGTAGGTGCAGCTGTAGGGGGCCAGGGGCAACACACGATGGTAAAGCACCTCAGCTGTGTGATGCCTCTTCAGTGTGGTCGATCGCTGCCTACATTTCATATTTCGCTGATTGGATTCGCCCATGCCGGAATGCAGCCAAACAGCCGCTGGTATGCCACATAGGCACAGAGACACGCATGGATGGGGCCAATCACACACCGGTCGATACACATAAGTGTGCCAGAATACATAATCAGATGTCCTGCATCTCAGAGGCATTCGCGTCTCGAGGCGGTATTTATCTTCATGAATTGAAGTACGGATGATGGCAATTCATAGATATGTATGTATGTATATATGTATGTATGCATGTGTGTGTGCAGGGCGACAGCTGATTGCGGGTGATGGAACCACGAAATTCAGGTATCTCACGTCACCGGATGCGTTGCGTCCTCTGGAGGGGCCACGTGGGGAGGTGCGCATGTGTTGTGTGTTGCATTGCATTCTTCAGATGTGAGTACGACAAATGTGAAATGGAGGGTGTCACACGCTAGTGTGACCTTTTGCTCTGCGTCTCCTGTCTCATCTTGCTCAGGTCATCAATGTTGACGCGACATCACAATGTCATATCGCTGGCTACATTTTATATCCCGACGTCTGTGGAAACGAAGAGACACGCCCCATTTTCGTCATTACTGGCCTCCATAAGTCAACGAACACGTAAGCTACTGAGAAGAGGAGAGGAGGGATACGGTAGGGGAGCTGGCGGCAATTGCTCCGCATGTGTGTCTCTCATCCCAGCTTGAGGCACATGCACCGCTTCTCCGTGACCAGGACAGCAGGGAAGAGGTGAGCACGAATGTATGTATACCCTTCCACTTTGTGTTTGTGCGCGATGGGTGCGGATCAAGGCGGCCACTCCCAAGGGCGACACACAAACGACCACACACTGGCACACAGGGAAGTGACGAAAGGAGCAAGGCGAATGCGCGTAAGCGTGTTTTGTGCTGCGTAGGGAAAGGTGGTCACGAAGCCGCTGACGTTGCAACCCCAACTTCGACCCGCACGAGAACCCAATCACTCGCAGACACGAAGATGTTTAATATGTGTTTATGTGCGTGTGCAGAAAGTGCGTTAGGAGAAGGCCCCGCCCAACACAGCCCACCTTCGCTTCGACTCAGTCGTCAAATCGGTCAGCACAACACAGGACAGACGTGGGCGAGGGAAGGAGGATTGACGCACGTGCATGTGTACGTCGATCCGGTCATGCAGGCGGACCTTGACGGCTTGATCGTGATCTATCAAGAGGACTACGGATTGAAGGCGCGCAGACTTCTCGACAGCATCCGACGACGAGTGTGCCGGGGTGAGTGTAAGTGACCAGCACGAGCAATGTGTCTCTTCGATTTGCTTTTATTTGTCCGTCGTGCAGCTCCCGGCATGTTCGATGCATCCACATGTGTGTGTGCGTGTGATGTGAAATCAGCGCTGCACAACTGTTCGAACGCCATCTGTGAGGAGAGCTTCTGGGCCGAGCTGTCCGGAAGATTCGCGACGTCACTGATGCAAGAAAGCGCGCCCTCGTCCTTGGGATACTTCCCCAGTGAGTATATTTATTCGATCAGCCTACGACCCACACGACACAGCACACCTCTATCACTATGCATCTTTGTCTTTGCGTCTGTGTCGGTTTATGGACGGACAGTTTGGAGGAGCCAGAGCGGCCGACTCGCAGCGATGACGCACCGCATGCATTCGTGGGGTTCCTATGGTTCACTGAGATATTCGGCTACATGCTAGACTTTTCTGCTCGCAACCACCAGACCAACGAACACATCTTTCTGCGCCTGGAGCGCGTCATTCCTCGGGTGCTGGAGTATTTCGAGGTGACGGGCGGAGCTACGTACCTCAAGGGCAGTTTCTATTCCCTGTGGGTTTTCATCGACACTACACTCTCATCATCATCTGGCGCGTCTGCCCCAAGTAACTAAGACCTGGCCGCATGCATGAATGGGTGGACGCACAGATGGATGGATCCAGTGCAAGAAGGCTTTCCGTCGTGTGCTCTGTATGTGTTTGGTTCAGGTGGGAGTGGTGTATAATTATCTGGTGGTGGTGCGTCGTGGTGCCCATCTCCATCCTCATCCAGGAGTCTGGCCTGGAGCCCCTCATCGTTGACGGCTGCGTCGTCATCTACAAGGGTGCAGATGGGCACTGGTGGATACAGACGGTCGACGGCCAGCCCGATATCCGCATCTCTGGCCGGTACGGCACCGCAGAGGAGCTGTACGGGCTCAACAACCAACAAAGGGCGGCGCTGCGGGGGGACGACCGTCCGTCCCGAGAGGACGACAACGAGACGATGCGCCAGCAGGAGGAGGATGGGGAGCAGGAGAGGGTGGACAAGGCCAAGGCCAAGGTGGCCAACAGCCACATGGATAGGGAGAAAAACAAGCCGTTCATCGACGGCATCCTCCACAACGGCCCCCTGCTGCCGTAAGTGTATGTGAGGCACAGGGAGAAGACATTCATGTATGTCTCCATATGTCTTTGTGTGTGGCTGTGTGTTCAAGGGCCAGTCGAGTGACCATGTTGAGCGTAGCGTATTTGGTGTCTGACACCCGCGGCCAAGTGCCCGCGGCGTCGCCCTGCTGCCGGCAGTGGCGGCAAGATGCCGCGTGGCTGAGACTTCACCAACACCCAGCTCGACCGCGTCCTCGAGAAGTGAGCGAATTATAGAAGACACGGGTGACTCTGAACCGATGGATGACCTGCATGTGTGTGTGTTGTTGGGTCCTGCTCAGGTTTGAGGAGGGCTGCCCACCTGCGGCTGTGAGACACGTTCCGGCAGAAGCAGGTCGAGGCCAAGCGCAACACACGGGCGGCACGGAGAGGCGTCGACAACTAAGCTGCGGATGTGTGGTGTGTATCTATCGGTGCCTGCATTTTATACTTCGAGTATTGAATTGGATTGGCCAGGACCACGTACAGTGATGCAGTTGGCTACATGGCGTGATCCTTCATGCAAGAAGACGGCATTACATGAGTGTCAGGTGTTGTGAGGGTTGTAGGATAACTTTCCGTACGTGTGGAAGGCAGGTGGAAGGTGCTTTCGGTGTGGACGTTGTTGACCCAGCCATGTACAGTATAGGTGTGAGGCCAATTCCTCTCACCTCCATCGTAGACGCCGCGGACTGTTGGCCGATGAACGGCACACCTGAGGAAAGAGCCTTAGAGCGAGATGTCCCACGAACGCGTCCAAGAGACCCCTTCGGGACCGGTCGCCTTGAAACTGACGGAAAGGAACAACACTTTTGAAGCCGATTCCGCCCTACGAAGTTGCTGTACACGTGCGTCCTGCCCTTCCTTCAGATCCGATCATGCCAAAAGCAGCGGTGCGGTGTCCTTTGTGCGTGTTGCTGGCCGGGCTGTCAATCGGCATTGGCTGGGTTGCGGTGCCCTCCCTCCTCCTCGCCCTCCGCCCGGCAGGGCTGCACGTGTGCGATCACACCAACACCAACACATCTGCACTGCATCATCACACGGCGACCCATGGCAACTTCACTCTCGTGGCTGGGAGGCGCTTCCGGCTGCTGCAGGCCAGCCGATGCGGATCTGCTGAGCTGCTGAGAGGGGCGGAGGTGGTGCTCGTCTCTCTGTCGGCTATGCGGCCACTGAGTGAGGATGATCTGGTGCGGACGGCACTCCAGCCAGAGAAAGATGCTGGGGAGGAGGAATGTCTGTTCCCTCTTGCCAGGGTTGAGGCGGATGAAGAGGAGTGCAGCGTCTGCCTTGATCGTCTGGAGCCTGTTCACACCATCCTACCGCCCTCATCCGTTCCCCCCAGTGCCTGCATCCCCGTCAGAATGAAGGGCCTACAGTCCCTCATGCCGGCCGGGAAATGGACACCCGCATTCTTGCGGAGGCGCGGCGCCGCCCGCAATGTGACCCTGAACGCCTTCTCTGAGCCTTCGAGTGTCAATGGGAGCACTAAACTGGACATCCAGCGGGCAGTCACGCTGGTTCAGGCATTTTCTGAGGGGAATGGCACCCTCGAGGGCGGCGGGGGCAGGTGGCTTGACGTGCGGGAGGACATTGAGGTGTTCAATCAGCTGCCGGGGCTGCGAAGACACCTGCACTGGCGACTTGCAATGCCCACGGTGAGTGACTGGCCACACAATGAAGAGGGAGGAAGAGAATTCGCGGTCGATTGGCTGTCATTTCGTTCAGCATTTTGCTGGTTCTCTGGTGGAGTACCTGTGGATCGCCCCTAAGGGTTCCATCACCCCGCTGCACATGGACCTGGCCGCCCCACACATATTCCACTACATCATCGCCGGCAAGAAGACCTTCTGGCTGTACCCCTACTCTCAATCGGACCTCCTCACTCCCACCAGCAGCATGCCACTCGACGGCGCCCTCTACTCCAATATGGTCCCTCATGACGCGCCGGCTAACAACGGATCGGCAGATGTGTCTGTCGTTCCGTCGTCGGCACCGCCACTGAAAATCACTCTCCGGTGGACGGGGCGCGAGAGGAATGTGCTCTGTGGTACCGCCCTTGCCTATATGTGTGTGTGTGGGCGGTGTGTGTGTCCACAGTGCCGGTGAGAGTTTGTACATTCCCTGGGGCTGGTGGCATTACGTCCACTACGACCAGGACTCCCTATCGGTCGGCAAGCCAACACACATCCACTGACACCTCTCACACACACATCATATGATGCAGGCGATCCTCTGTCTGCTGGTGTGTTCAGGTGAATGTGGTCGGTTTCGATTCGGACGTGCGCACGTCGGTGTGGTATAGCGTGTTGGCGGCGGGAGTGGTGCTGCAGGGCATCAAGGCCCTGTGTGCCGGCGACTGGGCCACTGTCTCGTACCTGCTCTCACTGGCACCCGACTGTCTGCGGATCATCAGTGTGTAGGACGGGATGGGATCGATGGATGGATGGATGGATGGGGGTGTGTGCACTTTTGGACATTCTATGTCTGTCTGGACGTGTCGATACACACATGGACTCATTCATGAGCTGAGACATGGATTGGGTCAAAATTGTCTGTCCATCGGTCTGTCAGTGTGTTGATCGATCGGCTGTGCTGTGTTTGGGTCTTCCTTCGGTTTGTCTGTCTGTCCGTCTGTCTGTCTGTGTGTGTGTCACTCGGTCCTTCTTTCACGAGAAGATGAGAATGCCGGGGTGGACGCGGAGGCAAGACAGCACCACCCGCAGCACACCGCTCTCATCCACAAAGTGCAGCAACGAGGCCTCGTCTGCACCGCGCACACAAAGCGACAATGCCGCATACAGGGAAAGGAAAGACACCCCTCTCGGCTCACCTTTGAAGGCGAAAAGGCAGAAGGGCTCCACCGAACGCGTCATCGAAAACGACTCAACCTGACACAGACAGACACAGAGAGAGAGAGAGGGATGTGCATGTCTCTCCCTGTATGTCATCTTTACTCTCCCTCACCTTCTTGATGACGCTGTGTCGATCGTCAGCCGGGTGTACGAGTGTGATGTCGAAGCTGATGCGATACGTCGCCTCGTCCTCTGGCACACCGCCATCGCCACACCTGGCCTTCTTCTGATCATCCACACATGACAGGGCACACAGGGAGAGAGAGACATGGGTGTTGTTTTCCGCTGTCTTGTGCCTGCGTAAAGTGATTGGGTCATTGTGGTCGCGCGAGTCCTCAAGCCCACGCAGCTGGCGCTTGTTGTCACTTACTGCATCCACACACACCGACACTTACTCATACAACACTCAACTCAACTGGCGGCCGGCTGACCTACCGGTGTGTTGGTGGTGTGTGGAGGATGACTGCTGTGCGGCGATGAGATGGTAGAAGATGCTGCTCACGTCGGCAGGGCCCTTGGTGTTGGGCGTGCTGTGCGACGCACTCACTGGCGAACGAGCAGGTGTCTTGACAGGTACCTTCACACACACACATGACAAAGATGTGGGGTGGGGTCCTGTCACTTCCTTGTTTCCCTCCTCACCGTCTGCCGCGGCGTCCGGGCAGGCATGGTGTTTTCCTGTGCCGCCGCCCGCTGATGGTACGAGACATGATGCAGCGACACCCTGGACACAACACACACAACACACGCATTCCCCCCAGGCAGCCCATCGCCACATCATCCGTCTCTCTGGCTGCACAATTGTCACTTACTTGAGCGACAGCGGGTTCTCTTCGATGAGTAGCGATGCAAACAAGGAATGGCCGGACAGCTGGAACCGAGGAGACAGGATCAAATTGGCTGCACATGCACAGACATATCAGTCTTGCAATGATGTCTCCCCACCCCATCCATCCCCCCACACAGACTTGTCTGTGCTTTGGTGAAGACATCGCCGATCTCCCAGAGCACGTATCCCTCCTGCTGCTGAGGGGAGGGCGACGGGGGCGGGGGCAGACGGGCGGCAGCAGCACTCGCAGACGTGCTCTCGCGCTGCACCTCCTCAACCCTGAGTCACACACACACAGAGGCCCATTCACACTGTCCTTAATGTTCGTGTTCGTTGACTTGTTGATTTTGGCTTCGAGTGTTTGGATTTTGTCTTTGTGTTTGATGAGCATGTCCTTGTGACACTCCGACGCATGCGCCTCCAGCGACACAGCCTCGACCAACCTGACGACACAAATGACACAGCAACGGACAAATGGAGGCCTTGTGTCTTTGTGTGGGTGAGGGGGCAGGGGTGTATGCGTGCCACTGACTTGCCGCAGAATCTGCATTTCTTGCGCTGATAGGGACACTTGGCGATGTGGTAGTGATAATGGCCGCGAGGGATGGCCTTGGGGCAACCGGCATTCACACACTTGAGCAACTCACAGTCCTGCACGTGGACACCTCAGACCAGCCAACGAGGTAACCTCTCGTGCGCCGGGTGTGGAGATGCACACACATTGCCCGCCCGCCTCACGCATTTGTTGAGGTGTGCGGCATAGTCACTGTAGGCACCCTTCCTGCACACACGGAACGGGAAGGAAGGCATGTGTGGTTTCGATGACGTGAGTGTGAGGACCATTCGCAGCCGGTCCGTGTCTTGGTCTGCGTGTTGGATGCGGCGCTCTCAAACGCTACACGGTCGTCTGACAGATGGAACAAAGTCAATGCATAGAACATGAGAGCCATTGTGGTTTTTCTTCCCCATCGACAGACCGTAGTGTCTGCAGGAAGGTCACACGCAAACACCATGCCAATGCCAATGAGATGAGTTCGTGTTTTTCGTCCTTCTTCGTCCATCTGACTGACTGACTTGCACTTGAGGTTGATTTTGCCTATCATGCGATACAGCAGACGGTTGGCCTGCTCCAGCGGCTGCACACACGACGCACCCGTCAGCAGCTTCTGGCACGTCGGGCACGAGCGAGACCTGCGGGACAGACGCATGGCAGACACACATGCACTGAAGAGCACTTCCTTTCAGTTGCTCAGATCTTGCCGACCGTGCGAGCCATCTCTCAAGGCATGAGCGGCAGTAGATGTGTTCGCACTCGGTGATGACGGGCACCCACACGAGCCACGAGCAGATGGAACACCGCATCTCGTCGCTGATGAAGGTGCCGCCGACGTTGGCCAGCAGCTCGTCGGGGATGCCCTGGCACGGCTGCTCAAACAACTTGCCACCGCCAGACGACATCGTGCACAGAAACGAAGCACAAAAGCAGTGAATGAAGAATAATGAATGTAAACTCGCTCGGATATCCTAAGTTGATTTTGGGCGATGAATGAGCGCTTCGGCCGGTCACGTACCTACAAGTGCCATGATGTAGATAAAGCCAGGAGATCTGGTTGACTGCGGACCATGGAGCTCTTGCCCGTCTTGCTGACGGGCGCGCTGCTCACTTTGAGGCCAGTGGATGCAAGTGGAGACGCCCCAGTAGAGCAAGATCTCATCGAGTCGCTGATTGGCTTCGGCCTTCGACGAGAAGCCGCCCAGAAGCTGCACAGCAAGACCATCACAGGCCTTGATCCATCGACTCGGTAGACAAGGAGTATGGCACGTGATGTATCAGGATGGCTTCTGATGCTTTTTGTCCGTTTCTTTGTTTTGCAGGAAAGATGTCATCTCGGCTGTTGTCAAGCTTCTCAGCAGCAGCGACGTGCGTGCGGCGACGCTGGTGCTCGCACTGGACAAGCTGGTGCCGGTTACATTTCATACCTCCTTCGATGAGCTGATTGGTGTTGGTGGTCTTCGCCCCATCGTTGCGCTGCTCGGCCACACGGCCCCTCAAGTCGCCAAGGCGGCACTCAGTCTTCTCCTTCAATACACAGGTAGGCGGCCTCCCAGTCTTGCGCTGCGCGTCCACCATCGTTGTGTCGTGTGTGTGTGTGTGTGTGTGTCGGTGTGTGTGACAGTGTTGTTCGACTCAGCTCTCGTCCCAGAGGAGAAGCGGGCGGGCGTGATCAAGCAGCTTGTCGACGAGGGGCAGCTCCTCCGCTCTCTCACAATGCTGCTGGCAACGATGAGCCAGAATTCCCCCGACGAGAAATGGCAGCGCGACGTGAAAGATGCCGTTCATGTCATCGGGAACTGTATCGAAGGTGCGCGCCAAGCAAGTACTGATTGCTTTTCTGCATCCCCTTCTCTCATACCTTTCGCAGCGGGCGGCGCCATGGTCATTGAGAAGATCATCGCTGCGAATTTGGTGCCTCAGCTGAGGGCTCTCGACAGGAGAATCGCACGGGACACAAGCATGGACAAACCGGCGGCCGACGAACTTCATGTGTTACTCGGGTGGACGTCTCGATCGTTGCTGGGCACTCCAATCGGCAATGACACTCAGGTGGGCGAGGCGGCTTGCAGAATCAGCCTCAGGATGTGCAGACAAATTGGTGTCGTGTGCGTCCTTGCAGGTGTTGTACATGGTGGAGCAGGGTTGCATAGAGAGCGTATATCGCGCGCTCGACGCCATGGATTTTTCATCTGTTGATACTTCTTTGCTGACCTTCGCGAGGCTGCTGTACGTAGGCCGCAGACGACAGAGGGGCGGCATATTACATGGTTTGGGTGGTGCAGGATGGTGGAAGAGACAAGCGAGGCGGGCAAAGCCATTATACAGCGGATGAGCAAGGTCGGTGCGAAGAACAGAGAGGCGCCAACGTGACAGAAACACCGCACGTGTGTGGGTGCATTGCAGGACGCGTTCGAAGATGCCATCAGAAGAGTCGCAGACGACCCAGACGAGAACATCCAGGAGCATGTACGCAGCGCAGCGCAGCATCGCACCACCTCCCTCACCTGCCTGCTCTTCCCTTGCAGGCCGGTGTCGTCCTCGCTCTCAGGAAGCTGAGAGCCGACCCCACCATGTCCGATACCCTTTCGGTCAGCCCACTTCACGAACTTAGTCAAGTGCCGTGGACAGCACACCGCCGACGTGGGTGACGATCTGGCTGCTGTCAAGGAGATTCGCTCAAGCGTCAAGAACAACAAGGGCTTCACGTCCAAGCTTGCCGAGCTGCACGACGTGAAGGAACTCATGCTTGACTTCAAGCGACCGGGCTTGCAACTGGAGGCCATACGAGCACTGCTGAACGTGGCATTTACCGGCATTGATGGGGTGCGGGCACTCTTACGGTAAGGATCTGAACAGACGGATGGACAGGTCGATGATGCACATGTGCGATGTCGTTCGTTTACAGGATAGATGTGATACCCGGACTGGCCGCTTTCCTGAAGCGCACAGTCGGCGCGTCGCGGGAGCTACAGGGGTCGCACGTTGACGCCATCGTGCCTGCCCTCGACACGCTGATGCTCATCTTCAACGTTACGGAGCATCACGACGGCTTCGATGAACTCCTGAGTCATGGCGTCGTGCCGCTGCTGGTGCAGGCGCTCAAAGGCAGCGAGAGGGTCAGAGTGAAAGAGATCCTCAGCGCCATGGGGGCAATAGCCAATATCCTAAGGAGCACCTCAGGTCAGCCGCAGAGCACAGGCACACAGGCACATCACAACGCTCGATCTACGGACGGCGCATCGCAGCCATTTGTCCCTGGCAGCCAATGCGGAAGATCTGCGGGAGGTGCAGCTGCAGCTGCGGGAGGGCGACTTCCTCACCGAATGCGAGAGGATCCTGTCGCCTCCGTTTACTCATGATTGCTTGCTGTACCATAACACCCTGACAGCTTTCCAACACTTCCTCGTCTCTGTTAACGCTGCGTCGCTGAGCGCTCAAGGTCAGTCAGACACGAAGACACACACACCGACAACTAGACAGGCATTCGTACACTCATTTGCTGATGTCTGTTTGTGTGGACATGTGCTCAGAGCAGCACGCGTATATGGAGGAGATCTTCGGTGCCGGCATTGTGGGGCATCTCATGCGACTCGCCGACGACCCCAAGTCGGCGAGTTGCAGTAGGGACCTTGACGTCATCAAATTCGTGATCTCACTTGTAACGGAAGCAAGCAGCCATCAGGTACGTTCATCAATGAATAGAATTGAGAGATGACCCATGGATGGATCTATGTCGCGTGTCTGTCATATATGCAGCTCTCCCTCCTTGTAGATCACGGTGTTCTCCCGCTCTTGTGTCGCAGCTTGGGGTCGGGCCATGTCTCAGCCGTCGTGGCTGGCTACACTTTCGAAGGGCTCTTTCGGTCGGCGACAAATACATAACAGAGATCGCAACAAAAGACATCGTATTGTCTTTTGCCAGGTATGTCGAGTGGGGCACTGAAGAGCGCAGCACTCGAATCAAGCAGCTTGTGGAAGAGGTTAGGGAGAGCCACTGGCTACGGTGCTCATTCATCGATGGGCATATTTCAGGAGGGCTGCGTGCGCGCGATGGTGAACCATGCGGTCGGGACCAACGTCGTATACGAATTCGCGGATGTCACAATCAGTACCCGTGAAATGGTACGAGTTCACACGCGCAGCGGGATACCAGACACGGACAAATCCATGTGCATCGATGTTTTGTGTTGGTGCGGTGTATCCAGTACGCATCACTGCTGAGTACTCTGTCCATCGACCGGGCCACGTGGCACCTCTACCTGCAAGGCAACAGGTGGGCGGTCACCCAGAAGCACGTGTCTCCTGCACTGTGTGGATGCTCTCATCAATCCAGCAGCTCTGAGAACCGGACTGCCAAGCAGACTTACACGGGATCGTCCAACTCGATCGCGCCCTCACAGTCCACCGTACGTTGGCAAAACAGACCCTTTGTGAATGCTTCCAACGGGATGGATGGATGGATGCACGCAAGGTGAATGACGCTGATCATTTCACATTTCTCAGGGATTTCTTGTCGCCTTGGTGTGCGTCGGGGTCGTGCTGTACTGGAGCTTTGTCGCCTTGGTGTGCGTCGCGCCTGTGCTGTTGCTCCTCTACAACACCGACCCTCCCGTGCTGAGGCGCTTCCAGTCGTGGTGGGCTGACGCAGAGGCAATGCGGCTACGCAGAAGGGAGGAAGAAGCCCGACAGGTGGCTGACGAGCTGGTGGCTGAAGAGGCAGCGACGCGAGCACGGACACCCACTGCTGCGGGCGGCAAACAGCGTCAGAGATCTGACAGGCATCTCACCACTCCTTCGTTCCCACTAGCACAAGCTGCACCACCCAATGCGTCATACTCGGCCGCCGCTGCCCCCATTCCGACCACGACTAGCGAGAGAGACAATGTTAGTGACCGAGCTGACGCCGGCGGCGCGGCGGATGAGACGAGGCTTGATGAGGAGGCGACACATGCGGCGCTCGCCACTGCACGACTGGTGTCGAGAGGTCGCAAGAAGAAGGGCAAGAAGGCGGCATCGTGGAAGGCCGAGCCGTCGGCCTCATCGGCATCCCCACAGGAGGCGGTTTCTGCGTCGTCAAGCTCTGCGTCACCGGCCTCCCCACTTGATGATAGTACTTCTGGTGGGCCTGACGGCAGTGGGGGTGATGCTCACGAACGCGAGGAGGGAGAGACAAAGACCGACGAGATCAGCGTTGGCAGCCATGTCAGCCGCGACATTATCAGGAGCATATCCCTGTCAGCCAAGTCACTTTCTGCTTCGTCTGCTGGCGGCCCGGCCTGTTCACCTGAGCCCGCGAACCCGTCACACGAAGATCGCCATGACAAGAAGGATGCAGCAGAGAAGGAGCCTCCTGCCCCGCTATGTTTGGTGCAGGAGCATGCGCCCAGTCCCCAGCCACAGCCCCCTGCCGCACACCACACACACGAAGCCCCCAAGGAGAGCGGCACCACCACCACCTTCAAGGCGCCGCAGGCAGACACAAGGCGACGACACTGGGGGGCCTCTCTACCCTTCATTCAGCCCGCCGGTGCCATCAGCCAGCCCGTCCCTGTCCCACCACAGCAGTCTCTCGCTCAATCAGGACCCAGTGGTGCATCAGTCGGTACCCATGATTCCACTTGGGGCGAGATGGAAGCCGCCTGGACAGAGTGGGAGAGGGAGCCATCGGGGGGACACCAGGGGGATGGTGGCGAGGACACAGGCGCTGTGACTAGGAGGGCTGCCGAGGAACAGGCTGCCAAGGTGGTCGCACAGCTGCAGAGCGATGTGAGGGACGCCATAGCGAACAAACACCGGTGAGAGCAAGAGAGGAGGGCACACGGACCTTCATCGTGTCGACGCGTGTATGTCATGCGTGCAGTCTCGAGTCGCAGAACGCTGCCCTGTTGCAGCATTGCTGTAGTCTGCAGGAGCGCACCAAGCAGCTGAGCGAGGCATTCGACACACTGAAGAGTAGCGTGCCCCTCGAGTATGCAATCAGCACAGACAGACGGGAGAATGAAGCCGTTAGTCATTCTGTGTGTGTGTCCTGTGTTCGGTCAGGTTGACTCGTGACGCGTTGTTTGCCTTGAAGACATCGGCTGAGGTGCGTGCCTTCGAGACGCGCATCAGGGAGGAGGACCAGCGGCTCGACACGCTGTATGATATGGCCATGGGCGCCAAGGCACTACCACCAGGGCAGCCCCTCCCTCTCCCTGACAACTCTCCCCTCCTCAACCAAGGCGCCACTGCATTCTCCTTGACACAGCCTCCTGCTGCTGGGTGAGGGATAACGGAAAGCGAATGGCCGTCATCTGAACGCTTACCTTATCACTGTGTGTGTCCGGCAGGCCGTCGCCCGTTCATTCGCAACAGGCGCTGCCGTCAACAGAGGCGGAGCTGCGCCAGATGCACCACAAACTGAATGTCACGCTACGAGAGTGAGCGAGCCAACTCAGCTATGCTGATCTGGCCAGCAGGGCGCAGCACTTCGTTGGTGCCTGTGTGTGTTGGATGTGCAGGTTGGAGGAGGCCATCGCGACGGTGAGCGTAGAATGTAGATCCCTAGAGGCGGTGCTGCAGCCCCTCCAGCGCGAGTACACTGCAATGCGCAACCAAACCGCCACTGGGTGGGTGGGTGGGGGGGTGACTGACAGAGAAATGCAAACACATCCACACAATGCACACATGTCTGTGTCATCTTGCCGGTTGTCGTCAGGTTGACAGTGGATCGTTTGCGTTGGTCAAGACTGCTGCCGCCATCGAGGCCTTCAAGCAGGACATCAAGCATGCTCAAAAAGCACTTCGCGACCTCTCACACGAGGCAGGCAAGCAAGTAGCGCTGCTCGAGGGGGTCCCCCAGCAGCAGCAGCCACCCCCGGCCACCAGCAATGGTAATGCAGCCGTTGAGAGGGGCAGCTGTGTGGCGTGTCGCGACGATACTCATCCTCCCGTCATCACATTCGTACGCCATACACACACGAACATACACCGACAGACACATCCCCACCTCTCTCTCCCCACCTCTCTCTCGAGTAAGAGGGCCAAGGCCGAGAAGGAGCGGCTGGAGGGGGCGGGCAGGCCGGTGCCTGAGGTGCGTCGTTATGCGGTGCTGCGGTGCCCCGCCTGTGGCATGGATGCCGTCCATGCCGACTCGCTGAGTGATGTCAGAGTGACCACAGACTGACGGGGGCTGGGGGATGAGTAGATGCACGGATCGGTGCATGTAGTGAGCATTTCTTAGTCGAATGATGATGATTAGTATGCCAATTCGGTCGCCTGCCGGTTTCTCGTCTTCTGTATCTAGGTATGTGTATCGGTGATGTGTACATATGGGTGATGATATCCATTGGCGGAAGACTTGACTTGTCTCATTGTTGAATGCGACCCACAGACAGGGTCGGATAATGTCATCAGCATGTCAGCATGTCATGCAGATCATGCAGCACATGGAAAGCACGATATCGAGGCAGTCAGCAGGCAGCGACAAACAAGTGGGCAAGGCAGTCAGCCCATCGCACCCCACGCGCACCACACGCCACCCTACAATAACAAAGTAAAGTGCAACCTAGCACCACCGCTACTGATTTGGCAATGCACTTTGCTGTCAGTGACGGCGACACTCACTCACCGACACCAAAAAAAACAAATAAGGGCCCGACACGGCGCCACACAAACAGCATGGTCGCGCCGTACCTAGATGGGCTTTGGCTTCAGCTCCAGGCATGCCACACTCATCCCTGCCGTCCACTTGATTGTCCCGAAGCGTCCAGGGAGGCCCTCGATCTTGTCGCCGTGTGTGCGCTCCTCCACCAGCCGCTTGAAGGCAGCGGAAGGCAACAGCCAGAACTTGAGCTCTTTGAGGCCGCGGATCTTGAGCAGAGACGGCACACAAGAGATGCCGAACTCGCCAGCGGCTTCGCCATCGCCCAAGTCGTGAGGTACTGAAGTGAAGAGAAGACAGTAGGGACGGAGTACATCAAAGACACTTTTTGCAGCTCACCGTCAACGCACATATGCAGCCGTTCGATGGTCGGCAGCTCCTCAGCTCTGTCTCCCCACCGCAGCCCTTCCTCGCTCACAGCCTGCATAACGAAGACCTCAAAGCGCCGCAATGCTCAGCCTTGCCCACTGCTTCCAGCACGCCCACCGCATCCGCCTCCATTGCCTCACGCACCTCGATCTCTCTCAGCGCCGGCATCCTCGACGCCAGCTTCTTGCCGACCACATGGCCCTCCCTCCAGCAGATATAGAGTTGTGATGCGGCGGGGAATGCGCCGTCGGGCAGCTGGTCGACCACAGCGGGATTGGGCGGCTCGGCCTGAGCGTCAGGATGCCAGTCTCCACCGTCATGCTTGAAGACCTGCACTTGCTCCGCCTTCAGGAATGTCATGGACTGGGCAAGGGCGGCTGCAGCGGGGCTTGGCGTGTCGAGGGGGTCGGTGAAGTGTTTGGCGTGTCGAGGGGGTCGGTGAAGTGTTCGGGACGGACGACAAAGCACGCCTTCAGTGTGTCGGCCGCCAGCTGCTGGAGGTGCCTCTGGACAAAGGGGGAGGGAGACGGGCGAGTGGGGACGGCACATAGGAGGGACATGTCGAAGAAGGTTTCAAAGTCGTCCACAAGTGGCATCTCGGTGATGTTGACTGGGATGTCGGGGCTAAGACACACGGTGCGCGTGAAGGTCTCGATGGCCGACAGGGCCGCGAAGATATGGAAGTAGACATCAGACTCAAAACGCACATTCAGCATCTTGATGGAGCGGCACCCACGATCGACAAGAACCGTCTGCAGAAACCGTGAGGGCAGCGCATGACCATTGCGAACTGATATTGCCTGCCTCCCGTCGCACACACCTGCAAGCGCTGCAATGCGGCCGTCCATTCGCCGATGCTGAGGGCCCACTTTTCGCTGAAAGGACCATCACCGGAACCAAAGGTGAGAGTGCCGATGTGCTCGAGCCGCGAGAGAGGGCCCGACTGCCCACCGCCCTCTGCTGGCACGGGGATGGCCTCCAATGCATCAGCTAACTCATCGGGATCGATCCACACATCCAGCTCCCTCAAGCGTCGTGACGTCGCCACCAGCTCTCCCAACGTCTCCCCGTCCATCCGGCATGTAGGATGGTGTACAGGTCGAGGACCAACGGCACCTTGACCGGGAAATCACACACCCTCTCGAGCGACGGCATGTCCCACTGCCGCCCGCTGCCGGGACAGATGCGGTCACTCGAGCTGCGTGCGGCATCCATTTCGACGCCCGTGATGGAGGTGAGAGACGCGAGCGTAGTAGGGGGAGGATCGACCTCAGGGGGCTTCCAATGGGTCAAGTTGAAGTCCCTTCCAATGGCTGTCACTTGTTGCATCTCGTCCGCGTCGATGCTCCGTAGAAACTCGCTCCCGTGACCACCTACGTGTGCACGCATAGAAGTACGTATTCACTTGCAAACACATCTCACGGGCTCGGGGCACCTTGTGCGTCAGGGGGGATGAGTTCGATGGACTCGAGAGTGGCGTTCGGTTTTGACCCATCACAGTGCCCCTCGACCACTGCCGTCAGGGTGTCCCTCACCGTCGAGTGCAGACCCGCATTGTAGAGAGACAAGTGGGGCACGTGGCTGGGATAGCGGAGAGCCATGTGCTTGAGCTGCCTGAGGCGCCGCCCCCACGCGAAGGCGTCAGCGAACGACAGGCGGCACCAGAAGCGACGCTCATCCGTGTCGTAGAAGTCGACCGTCAGCCGCGTGATCTGTACGCCGACATGACGCCACAGCCGCTGGGGCAGCTGCGCTACCAGGTGCAGTGACAAGAACGAGAAGACGTACCCCACCACAGCAGCCTGAATGAGCAACGCGCACACCATACCAGACCACCCAGAGAAGAAAGATCAGAGTGAGTGCTGTGTTGCTTGCTTCCCCTGGCATTGACTTACGATTTGGCTGAAGCGCTGTGCAAAGGCCTCTACGTCTATAGTGTGCAGTGCAGTGCCCTGCTGCTGCGGGCTGTTGGCGTCCGCCTTGGCCTCCCCGTCTGCACCCTCGCCGTCCGTCGCCGTCCTCCGCCGCTTCGGAGCCGCCTCACTCATGGCCGGCCCTCGAGATGTTGCCTTCGTTGCCTCATGCGGCATCAACGGCGTGGCCTCCTACGCCCAATGAATGTTCGCAAATCCACGGGAAGATGCGAGCTGAGAATCAAAGTGCGAGCTCAGCATAACGGATCGTCACTTAAGGAGCACAGCAGCGCGAGGGCTGCATCTCTTCTGTGCTGCATACCCACGGGGCGTATCTGATGTGCAACGACTGGCATAGATCTCCCCCGAGATCTTGCACCACTCACGACACATCGCGGCTCGGCTGCAGCAGTCCTACCTGAGCCCCGCAGCCAGCTATCGCATCTGCCAGGCAGACATCGCAATGAGCCACCCCTCTGAAGGCGTGCCGGAGGATGCCTCCAACCCTCGGAGGGACCTATCGCCTGACGAGGGGGACACAGTGGTGCACCAGCCACGGCTCTTCTCGTCAGCCCCACTGGACGCGCACTTCGCTCACACGACCCGCCGGCCGCTGCCCGCCGCGCCGCACCCCTTGTGTCGAGACAGGAGTCCGGGCCTCCTCTCCACAGAGCTGTCGTCTTCATCGGCTGGATCAGCAGGTGACGGCCCTGCGGCAGCCGAGACATCCATCACAGGCGAATCCGTCACCGAGTCGGGCAGCTTCACAGGCGGTGCCAACGGGACGTGCGACGCGTCCGTGACTGAGGTGGAACAGAAGGAGATGGAGGAGGGACTCCGGCGGCCGTCTCAGGATGGCATCAGTGACAGCGGCAACGACCTCACCGAGTCGTCCACTGCCTGGCACATCGGGGGCGAAGACGGCGATGGTGATGGTCATGGTAATGGTGAGGGGAGGAGGAAGGAGTCAGTTCTGCGTCGGGTGGGGCGGAAGGCGTGTGCGGCGGGTGATCGCATGGGTCTGCGTGTGACGGAGCGGATCGATCGCGTCAAGCAGAGCGAGCAGTGGGTCAAGACGAGCGAGAAGTTCAAGCAGGCCAGCGACAGCTTCAGGTCTCGACTGCCGCCACGACACAAAGTCACACTCTGGTTCTCAAGGATGGTCGTCTTCGGTGAGTCAGCGAGCGAGTCAGCCAGGCCACGAGACACTCACGCGAACGGACGGACGCCTGGGAATGTCACGCGCGCGTGTGTGTGTGTGCGTGTTTGCAGCCTATCTGGTGATCCCGTGGACGGACATGATCAAAGACTTCGTAAGATCCTGAGGGAGAGAGAGCGGCCGACGTGTCTGTTGTGTCGTGCACTCACTGGTTGATGTCTGTGTCTGTGTCTGTGTGGCTGTCAGGTGGTTGTGGGTCATTTTGCATCGCTGGGTCACTCTGGCTGGGCGTCACTCATGGTTGTCTGCATCCTGTAAGCACCTCCCTCCCTCCCCTACACCACACCACATCGGCCAACACGTGGAGGACAGACACGTCACACTCGTCGGTCTGTCTGTTGGTTCATGTCCTGACAGGGTTCCTGCTCTCTACTACGGCCTGAGAGTCGGCCTCTACACACGGTCGGAAACTCCCTCGCACCAACAACTGCATGTGTGTCATTTGCTGTCGGCTCTGTGTGTGTGTTGCCCTCCGTGTTGGACGGACGGTGCAGGAGTTTGTCTCAGGGTCTGCAGGCTGTCTTTCAAGTCGAGTTCCTCTTCCGCTTCAAAGCGTACTGGTTCAACCCCAAAGGCATGAACGAAGACGCCAGACTATTCCAGGTACGGACGGCCACAGCTCCAGCTCACCACACGTGCTAGGCAGATGCATCCCATCCCATCCCCCACTGCGTGTGCGTGTACGTCAGATTCGTCGCGAGGCGTTGCTGCTGGAGAACATTCCCCAGCTGCTGCTGCAGGCCTACGTGTTTGCCCGCGAGGCGGCCACCTACCTGTCCAGCAGCGAACTCATACTGCTCATCGAGGAGAACGACCACGAGGTCAGTTTGACAGACAGACATCCACCCTCGCTCGGTGTGGTGTGTCGGGTTGGCTCATCCGTCCATCCATCCATGTGTGTGTGTCTGTCTGTCTGCAGAAGCTGGTAGACCACTGTGCGCGTCAGGGTTGGAACCACCGGCACAGCGAATGCGACGCCATGATGTTCGACAACCTGTGCACTTCCAACCAGGTACGACACAGCACTCCCCATCCCTATCGACTGACCCTTACACCCATGCATGCATCCCTCCATCCCTCCATCCATTCTTTTTGGCCATTCCATCAGCTGGCGGTCCCCCGTCGCACCGTGCAGTCCATCACTAGTCTGGAGTGCCGCGAGGTCTCCCTCGCTGCAGCCGACTACATCCAGCTCCCGCGCGTCAAGTGTCGCAGCATCTACGGGCAGCCCGACCAGCCGCCAAAGGTGGACGACGGCCCCATGTGCTGCTACTTCACCGACCTCATGAAGGCCTCACAGGCCGCTGACGCAGCACAGGCCGGAGGCGACTGGCCCGCACCATTCGGCATCTCGTCCATCGGCTACGCGGCCTGTGAGGCCGACTGGCTGCTGCCGGTGTCCATTTTGCTGTCGGTGCTGTCTCTGGTGATGGTCTTCACGTGGAACAGGCAGTCGCCCAAGACAGGCGAGGCGGCGCTGCAGCGCAGACCCGTGCTGGCGTTCGTTTGCAGCGCTCTGGACTTTGTGCCGCGGCTGGTGTGGATCTGGCTGACGTTCTGTGGACTGCTGGTGCTGTCCACCCATGTGGTTCGCGACTTCTGGAACCCACTGCTGCCCGGAAAAGCCGTCACGTGGTCCGCCCTGGCCCTGCCACTCATATCGCTTCTCACGGTGAGCTGAGAGAGACCACACGAGTAATGCGCCCACGCCGTCATGACAGCCTCATTTGTTTTATTTCACATTCCCCTCCCTCCTTCTGTCTCTGATTTCGCTTGTGTCAGTTCTTCATCTACGCGTTGGCCCTCCGTCTGCTGGCGCTACGGTCCGTGAGAGTGTTCCGGCAAGCCGACGTGCACGCCAGCAACGACCTGCCTCCGTGCTGGTGCCTCACCTCACTCCTGCGTGCGTGTTTCGGCGGTGGCGATGATGAGGACGAGGAGGGCAACACCAACGGCAGGATCGAGGGGCAGAAGAAGCGTGGGCGGCGGTGGCACTGGCCGCAGTTCTCAATCCTGCTGACCAAGGCCTCCCTCATCTGCATGTTCGCCTACATCGTGGGGGTGCGGCAGCTGCTGGCCGAGGACTTCTGCCTCAGCTCTATCAACATACTCGAGCCGGTGCTGCCCGAAGGGTACGCTACGCTGCGTCAACACCCCCACAACAATCCGACACACACACTCACAGACTCACACACATGCCTATGCCTATGCCTGCTGGTCTCTCTCTCTGTGTGGTGGATGTATCAGGACGAACCTGACCAACGCCTTTGTGAACACGACGCAGGTCAACAGCACCGAGACGGGCGTGTCGGCCAACAGCGCCAACGAAACAGCGGCCGCAGCCAACAAACCCAGTGACGGCGGGGCCACCAGCAGCAACGGCACCTCACTGAGGCTGCTGCAGGAGGGGGAGGAAGGATGGTGGGACGACAAGCAGGGCAAGCCGCACATCAGCCTGGAAGTGGGCCTCTGGACCATCATACCTCCGGCACTCTTCCTCCTCCAGGTAGCTGGGGAGCTCGGTGGGAACCAGAGATGACAGCCACACGTGAGTCTCCCCTCTCCCTCCCTCCCTGTCTGTGTGTGTGCAGTTGTTGTTCTGCATCACTTACCTGTGCTACGAGGGGTGTTGTTGCGGCGGTGGTCTGCGCAACCGGCAGTGGGAGGGGCCCACCTGGCGCACATTCAGGAGGTGCCACCGCCTATGGGGCCTCTGCGCCGTCAACACCGTCGCCCTCTACACCGGCATCAGCTGCGAGCCAGAGGACAACAAGAAAGCAAAGCAATCCACAGCGGGTGGGTCCAAACACCAGCAGCAGCAACACACACCCCAGCAGCAGCACCCACCCCAGCAGCAGCTCAGCAGCGGGTCACAGGAGACCGAGCAGACCGAGAGCGACAGGAGGGAGGTCAAGAAGGACAGCCATCACGACGACGACAACGCCATTGTCCCAGCAGCAGCAGCAGCAGCAGCGGCAGCAGCGGGGCGCCAATCCCCATCAACTCCGCCCCAGATGCCGCGCATCCTCGAGTCGAGTGACCGGTCCAGGTCCAACCTCTCAGCCGCGCCCTCCAATGCTGCATCGAATGTCTCCGCCCCGGCCGGCCAGCAGGCCACCTCACAGGAGCAGGAGCAGGATGCATCGGCTGCTGAGTTCACCCGTTCGTCATCGGCCGACCGCGAGATGAGCGCTCGCTCGTCGCGCCCGTCGCGCCACCCATCGGGGCGGTCCTCGCCGTCCCACTGGATGTCGGGCCGCCTCACGTCGATCGCCATTGGGTCGTGGAATCCGCTGCGGCGCGCCCACACTGGTTCGAGCGATCGCCGCAGCCAGTATGCTGAGAGCAGCCGTGGTCAGCACAGCGGTGTGCGGCTTCCCGTGACGGCCAGTGAGTGGGCTGTGGAGCAGACGGCCATGTACCGGAAAGGTGTGTATCGGCTGGTGGCGAGCATGATGGTCGACACGCAGGTGCCACTCGCCATGTTCCTCATGCTCATGGTATGTACCTTACCTGACGACCCTGGACGGACGACCAGTCGTCGTCGCTTCACCTGTCTGTCCATTCGTTTTGTGTTGTGTTGTGTTGTGTTGTGTTCATTCAGTGTTTCACGCAAGGTTTGGGTGTCCCGTCGATAAAGGGCATCTGGTGGCCACAGCCGCTGTTCTTCCAGACGGGCCTGTGCATCGTCTTCCCCCTCCTAGCTGCCGCCTGCTGGGGCATCGCTCTCGACTCATTCCACTTCTCGGCATCCGTCGCTCCCACCAAGCGACAACAACATCAGCACCAGCACCATCACCACCATCACGACACCGACGGCTCCTCCACCATCACCTCCACCGACCAGCAGCACACCAGCAACACCAACGAGTCCTCATTCCAGGCCAACTCCCTCACGCAACTCATCCGCACAGACACCTGCCAGTCCAATGATGAGGCGGGCAGGGCGGCGCTTGAGAGGTCGGTGAGCCTCAAGGTGGGCGACCCTGCTCTCCTGGACCTCATTGCTGAGGATGACGGTGGTGCGGCCGACACGGGCAAGGGCAAGGACGTGGGCGAGGCGGACCCTGACGAGCTGCCCGAGGACAGCTGGTGCGACCGGACGGCAAGGCAGTGCTTTGTGGGGTGCGGGAAGCGGTCCAACTGGCTGGTCTTCCTGGCGTGCATCGCGTGTGTCGTCTGGGGGTCCATGTACATCCTCAGTAAGCTAGCTGCAGAAAGAGGGACAGACAGATGGGATGGATGGTGGCTTGGCTCCATCGAATTGCATCTCTCTCTCCCTGTGTGCTTCTTTCTACGCTGTGTGTGTTTGTGTGTTTGTAGGTTCTGCCCAGAAGTCTGTGTTGACGTTCAAGCTAGACTTGCTGAACGAAATCGACCGCCTCGCCGACATGCAGCCTCCGACCCCAAAGGACGTCAAGGACACCGGACAGGAAAAGCCCCAGAACAAGGAGGAAGAAAAGCCGTCCGAGAAGCCGTCTGAGAAGCCCACAGAGAAGCCTACAGAGAAGCTGACCGAGAAGCCAACTGAGAAGCCAACCACAACCACGCCAAAGCCCTCTCCCCAGCCCCAGGAGGCTCCGAAACAGCAGCAGCAGCAGCAGCAGACGAACACAACGGCGGCCCCATCGCCTTCTCCTTCTCCCCGTCCACAGACGGGCCGCACACGCCAGCCGCGTGAGAGCGGCGGCCAGAGCGGCGGAGGCCTGCAATGGGGCGAATGGAGCGACTGGGAAGGAGGTAGGACAGACAGAGGCAGGCAGCCCATCGAATCGACAGACCAGACAACACACGTGGATGCATCGCATCCATCGACCCACAGACGTCACGACACCCACTCATGTGTGTCTCTCTGTCGGTCGGGTCGGTGTCTGCGTAGGAGGGTGGAGTGAATGGCAATCAACCGGTGGCTGGAGCTCCTCAGGCGTGTTGGGGCAAGGCGGCCAGTCGAGCTCTTCCCAGGGCGGTGGGGGGCAGTCGGGCGCCGCCCCCTCTCAACAGCAGGCCGAGTGGAGTGAGTGGTCTTCCCCCGGTGGGGGCGGCGGGGGAGGAGGGGCGTCTCCAGGCAGAGGCGGCAGCATCATCGACGGCATCGTCAATAACGTCCGCGACCGTGCGTCGACCGAAGGGGTGATTCCCAGCTCTTGGGGGTCGTCTGGCGGGTCCAACTCGTACTACGACTACGAGAGTCACGAGAGCTTCTCCGTCGGGAGCGACGGTGTGGTGGACTCGGACGGCGAGCAGGTGGACTCCGATGAGGCGCTGCTGCAGCTGATTGACGCGCTCAAGACAGATCGAACGCCAGCCGCCAGCCGAACCACCACCGTCAGCAACAGGCAGCAGCTGGAGGACGGCCCAGTAAGCTCATGGGGAGGGAGGGAGGGAGGGAGGATGGATGGAGAAAGGCTGGATGGGTCGATGGGTCGACCGCAATCGCACGGTTCCATGGCTCTCCCTCTGTGTGTGTGTGTATCATTTCAGCGGCGTCCCAATATCACAGCGGTCGAGAGCTCCTGGAGCAGCGAGACGGTCGACCACCTCCCCTGGGACACCCCCGCGCTCTACCTCCCTCTCGGCACATCCATCATCTTCGCATTCCTCGCACACACCGCAATTAAGGTCTCATTCAGAGTTCTCAAGAAGGGCCCCCCCGGCGCCCGCGTGGTCAGCATGCTGGTCATCCTCTGCGCCTTCTCCGCTGCCTCCGGCTTCCTCCTACTGTCGTGGTACCGCGGCGACCCCCCTCTGCCGAAGCTGGGCACCGGTCTGCCCGGCCCTTCATCGTCTGGCGATCGTCGTCGTCTGCAGTTTGGTTTTCTGAGCGGGCTCACCGGCGGCCAGGTGCCCTCAGTAGGCGGGGGTCTGGCATCCATCGGACAGGCAGTCGGGTCTTACACGGGGACGTACAGGCAACGCAGGCCAGAAAGGCGGAGGGGCGCTAACGGGGCTGCATCGTCTGGTGTTGTCTCGCAGACTGCACAACCACAGCAGCAGCAACCACAACAGCAGCAGCCACAAGCAGGCAACCCCGTCTCCTCGGCCGTGTCGGGCGTCGCGGGCGACGTCGCCGGCGGTGTGGCGGGACAGGTAGCCCAGGACATCACGGGCAGCGAGCAGGTGTCCGAGGTGGCCTCCCAGGTGGCCTCTGACGTGGCGGGGGACGTGGCGAGCGACGTGGTCGAGCAGGCCACCCCGGAGGCCACTGCCGAGCAGGAGCGCCAGCGTCAGCAGCAGGAGGAGCAGGCCCAGCAAGAGCGAGAAGCCGAGGCGGCCCGCAGGAAGAAGGAAGAAGAGGAGGCGGCGAGGAAGAAAAAGGAGGAGGAGGAGCAGGAGGCGGCTGAGAAGCGCCGCAAGGAGGCGGAGGAGCGGCGCAAGGAGGAAGAGGCCGAAAGGAAACGCAAGGAGCGGGAGGCCAGACGGAGGAAAAAGGCCAAGGAGGTCAGCCAGCCAGTGGACCAAGTGACACACCTTAACTCGACTCGGGTTCATCTCCCTCTCTGTGCGTGTGGCAGGCTCGTATGGGCGGTGTGATCGATCGTGCAAGAGTGAAGGAGATGTCTGAGGTCATCATGCTGGGCTTCCTCGGTAGGTACCGTACGCACAGACTCATTCTCCACAACACACACACACACACACACATATGAAAGAATGCATCGATGTTGATCCGTCCACCGATCAGGTTTGGTGAGTCTCGCTTCGATCGTCATCACCGGCTGGCGATGAGATGAGATGAGATCCAGACACGCGCCGATACCTCTTGTTTGGTCAAGCACCCCCCACCCCCTCCCCCCCACCCCCCGTCAATGTGCGGGGCATGCCGACCCACAAGAGCGAGTCATGATATGATCGGTGCCTGCATGACATGATGCTTTTCTACGTACAGTTTCTTGTGTAACCTATTCACAACATATACACAACATATATATGTCACAGGGATAGGATAGCGAGCCGTGCGAGGGGGCGGGGCGGAGGGGGGGGGCGGGGCTGGGAAGCAGTTTTAGTCGTCACGTTTATCTCCCTCCCTCCCTCTTCCAGTGTAGGTACGGTCGGTACGTGTGATTCATTCATTGATTCATGCTGTGAGGTGAGGTGATAGCCGGCATATGGCGAGTGAATGTGGTGTGACGCATTCGTGTGTGTGGAGTGATGTGATGTGATGTGTGTGGTGCAAACCGGGTGAGTGACTAAGTGATGCATGCGTTTTGAGCGGCCCTCCCTCCCTGCCTGCCTGCCTGTCTTCTCGATTCTGTGGTTGCCTGTGGTGCGGGGACTGGATGGATGGATGGACGGAAGAGTGGTTGGTGTTTATTCGGTATTGGGGCGGGTGGGTGTGGTGTGAGTGTGGCTGGATGGATGGATGGATTGGTTGATTGATTGGTTCATCTGTCTGTCTGTCTGTCTGTTTCTCCGCCTGTCTGTCTAATGGCCTTTTGTAGACTGGCATTTAGTTAAGCGGGCGGGCGGGCGGGCGGGCAGGCGAGGGGGATGCGAGCAGAGCAGAGCAGTACATATTCGTTTTGGGATGTTGTCCTTACCTTGCGCTCATGTTGGTCTCTCTTCGTGTCGCTGTTATGGTGTGCTGTGTGTGTTCTTTTTCAGCAATGCGCAGACATTGTGCATCACTGCGTGCCGTGCGTGATGTTGCTTCCTTTGCGCCTATTTAGGAGGGGCTGACCGGACCGGCTGTGTGGATGTGTGGGTGCTTATGTGTGGATGGATGGATGTCGTGAGGTGATGCGATGACAACCGACCTCTCCTGTCTGTCTGTCTGTCCGTCTGTCTAACGCTCTCTCTCTCCCTTCCTCCCTCCCTCCCTCTTGGGGTGTGTACCTTTCCTCCCTTGCTCTTTTTTGCCCTTCCTGCCCTGCTTATGTGTGATGTACGTTATGTCTGTAGCTGCACGCTACAATGACGATTGACGCTTGACGCTTGACCGGCCCCTTTTCTGCCGGAGTGTGTGTGTGTGTCGTGTTCATTCGGTAGCCTAGCCGTGTGCTGACTGACATAACAGCACACACATACAAACAGACGTTTACAGCCTCTGTGTGTGGACGAGAGCACACAGCACAGAGATGCTATAGATCTACCTACCTGGTGGGGTGTGAGTGTGTGTCTACGGCGGTTTACAGTGTTTTTGTCCGGGGAGTTAGTCACTTTACAGTGGAGTAACGCGGAGGTGGAGGGCGGCACACACACACCCCATACCACACACACCCCACACCATGGTCTATTTTGGAGCGACGGACGGACGGACAGGCAGAGAGACAGGCAGGGCAGGGCAGGCCAGAACAGGGCAGGAGGGCAGATCAGATGGGTGGCTGGCGACACAAACAAATGGGGTGTGCTCGGCAGGTTGGGGTGGGGGGTGTCTACCTAATTGGATGGAGTGGCAGACAGACAGATATAATTGCACCTCCCTCCCTGCCTGAGCCCGAGCGCTGATCAAGTACGGAAATCTTCTAAGGCTGGCTGGCTACGTTCGGTGGGTTTTGTGTGCGTTTTTCCTCACAGATAGATGTGATGGATGGGTGGAGACAGACGAGACAGTACACTACACTTATACGCTTGGACTAGACAGACACGTATGTGAGTGAGTGATGTGAGCTGTGTGTGTGTGGATGTGTGTGATGTGATGTGATGTGTGTGCCTTTGCTTGCTTGTGTTGCTGTGGCTGCGTGTGGCTGCCATCGCATCTCCTCAACCGAGGACGGACGGACGGCTGGCTGGGTGGCATTTTCATTATGGCGTGGGCGGGGGGGCCATCCGCATGCACCATGATCTGACTTGACGCTCATGACAGTGGTAGCATAACAACACCTTCACCTCATCTCACATAACATCACATAACATCCAAAGCTGGTCGGTCACAGTCATCTCAAGTCATCTGCACACACTGCCGCCCCGGCTGCACAGAAATCTGCAAATATCCCATTCTAGCTAGCCAGACTACCAGATCTCGTCACTCCACTCGCTCATCTCATCATCAGCCCTTGCAGACGACGTAGCTACTGCAGCAGCACCGACAGAGGGAGCAGCTCTCGCCACCCCACTGTCCGCCCCCTTGCCCCGCAAGAACCCCGGTGACGGCTCGAACACTTGTATGAGGCCGTCCTTGGCCCCGCTGCACACCTGCTTCCGCCTCCCATTCCACTCCACCGCCACCACCGTATCCAGGTGCCCCCGCCACTGCCTCACCACCCGGCCCGTCTTGAGCTGGAACATGCACACGAGCTCGCCCACGCCGTGAAAGACGTGGTCGTCGAAGGTGTCCACGGCGAAGGTGGTGCCCAGCGACTGCTTGTTCTTGGTCTGCCCGAAGTGGACGAAGCAGTTGCCGCCCGTCAGGGCGTCCCACAGCCGCACATGGCCGTCGGTGCCTGAGCTTAGGACGTACTGCCCGTCCGTGGTGAAGCGCACCGACGTCACGCGGCCGTCATGAGCGATGCCGGTGTGCTTTGGCGGCGGGGGCTTGCGGGGAGGGGCGGGGGTGGGTGTGGGGGCAGATGGTGCACTCGAAGGTGTCTTGGCGGCTCTCCTTGACTGAGATGATTTGGGCGGCTGGGGCTTCAACAGGTGGGGGTTAAGGCGGTAGTTGATGCGCTGTCTTGACAAGGGGTCATTGCTGCTGCTCGCCTGGCTGTCGTTGCTCTCCTCCCTCTCTGCCGATTTGTCCTTCCTCTTTCGCTTGTTAGTCACCCTTGACATGTAGGCCCACACGTCGCTCTCATCGGCAAAGCCAGCAAGCTGAGGCCCTTGTTTCGCCGCTACAGGTGGCGGTGCCTGAGTCTTCGGCACTGCCGGCCGCCTCTGCGGGGGCAGCGTGTCGGCGCTGCCGATCGGCCCCTGCCCGAGAGCCCGCAGAAAGCGGTCGTCGGCCTTGTGTTTGTCGAGGGCGTAGATGCACTGCACGCCCCTGCGGATATCCCACAGCCTGACGGTCCGGTCGGCGCTGCCGGTGACCAGATGGAAGCCATTACGGGGGTGGAAGGCGACTGAGAAGACCGCCGCTCGGTGGCCGCGCAGGATGTGTGTGAAGTTGCCCGACCGGAGGTCGCACAGCCGCGTGTGGCCCTCTTCGAGCGCTGCAGCAAAGGTCGGGCTGCCGCTGGTCCGCTCGCCAGCCGTCGCGATGCTATATACCTGACAATCGATGTCAGGTCAGAGGAGGCAGAATGGTTCAAGCATGGCATGGCTGTCGTGGTGTGTGGGGTGTTGTGCTGTGTGGCTGCTCGCGCACCTTGCTCTTCAGGTCGAAGCTGATGACCTCGTCCATGCCCGATGTGTCCCACACCTTGACAAATTTGTCGAGACCGGCAGACAGACACACAGACGAGCCGTCGGGGTACCACGCGAGGGAGCTGATGGCATACAGATGACCCCGATCAAACCTCCCGCCAGCCCTCGGGTCCCTTTTCCCGACTTGATGGACAGGTCGCACAATACGCCGGCCTCCGATGTCGGTGTGCTGCCGCTTCTCCCGCTTGTCGAGATCAAACAGCTTCATGGAAGATCCGGTGCTGCCGGATAGCAGAAATCGCCCATCCGGTGAGGCCGCCAAGGCAGACACGCCTCCGGCATGGTCTGCGTCCAGCGTGAGGGTGGCTGACGTATCTAAGGCTGCGATTTGCTTGCGCTCGAGGAAGCAGTGGAAGTGCCGGGCCGACAAGATGCCAGCGTGCCGTGCTCGGAGCTGAGAGAACAGCGGCAGCTTGTCGAAGGACGACGAACACGCACTGTTGGGCATCATCTTCCTATCATCATCTTCCTACTGTTGAGAAACCAATCAGGCTATAGCCGAGGTTATCCATCTCCGACACATCATTTCCTCCGGCTCGTGCCACTCTAGGGTTCAGGGGCTCTGGTTCAGGGGCTGCAGGGTTTGAAGACCCTTAGTTCGCAGAGGCGCAACGCTCGAAGACGCCTCTCACTCAGCCTGGGGCTCTCTGTGGCGTGTTCGTGTCGGCCTTACAGGCACTCCGACTCATCAGCTATGATGATTTCGATGGCCATGGACGAGGGCCCTTCGCCGCCCCGGCGCACATCCAGACACCTCAGCGTCTTCGGCAGCCACACGCACAGCTACGAGAGGCGGCGCTCGCCACGCACCCACCACCGCGATGCTCCCTGTGTGGGGACTAGACAACACACCAGCAGCCACAATGAGAAAGCGGCTCCGGCGTCTTCTCAGTGGTCACTGGCGCATTTCCTGCGCAAGGCCACCGGCTGCCTCGACACAGACACCAAGGACACAGACCAGAGAGACCGGCCTGGTGCCAGCGGCCTGTCTGACGTTCTGGGCTGGCACACGGGGATGGTGGCAGACGACACGCGCACGGGCCTCGACAACGAGGAGCCGCCATTCGACGAGCTGGATGGCTACTACCGCAGCACGGCAGAGAGGGAGCAGCTGGCGAGGGAGCGGACTTATCGAGAAGACTTCAGCCCCCGCGTCGTGCGGTATGCCGATGTCTGCAAGGAGGACGCCCTGTCGGCCGCCATCGCCCCCTTCGCCCCACGGCGCAATATCTCGCGAGGCCATGAGGACGCCCCCCTGCAGCCGGAGGCGGTGCTGCACAAGCTGAAGGTGGCGACGGTGCCCAGGGGGACGGCATATAAGGGCTCCTCTCCCTCTCACTCTCAGCAGCCGTTGCATCGGGGTGGTGGCGGTGATGTGACGGGCCATCGGATGCAGGCGGTGCGGCGGGGCATCGAGCAGCTCAGGAGGGAGGTCCCGATGGATGTGTTGAGCGCCCTTCCTGACCATGATCACGCAGCCGACTTCGTCAAGGACGCATTGAGGCAGGCGTATAGGAGGCGCATACGGGAGTTGCAAGAGAGGGCGGCGTCTGAGCCTGGGGCACGCAATGAGCTGCAGGGTCTGCGAGAGTGCGGTCGGATTCTGGCGTTGCGGGACAGTGGGGTGTCGGCCGAGAAGCTGGTTGAGCTGCGGGTGATAGACAACGCCGAATGAGCCTTCCTTTTCTTCCACCCACCCAGCAGAACAGTGTCGTAGACACACCATGCAGCTGACCTGTGTGTAGTGCTGTGCTTCCCACCTGCTGTCTGTTCTGTGTTCCGCCTGGGTGTGTGTATGGCGGATGGGGCGTGCTGTTATGTGTTTCTCTGCTCTGGGGGGGGGGGGGGGA